TGTGTAGACTGTGTAGACTGTTTAGCTGTGCCATTACTGAATGAGCACTGTGCTGCGTCCGATAGATCGCACTATTATGTTTTTCTTTTCTTTTTCATTACCTTATAACATTTTAACACATTTTTATCTGTTTTTTTATTATTTTTTTCATTTTCTTACACTTGTGTCTTTTATTCTTGTTTATGTAAAGCACTTTGAATTGCCACTGTGTATGAAATGTGCTATATAAATAAACTTGATTTGCCTTGCTTTGAAACATTAAGTATTGTAAAAAGCAATATAAAAATAAACTTGAATATCTCTCTCTCTCTCTCTCTCTCTCTCTCTCTCTCTCTATATATATATATATATATATATATATATATATATATATATATATATATATATATATATATATATATATATATATATATATATATATATATATATATAAACACACACATTCGCGCGGGCACACACACACACACACAGTATTCCACAAACTTCCCCACCCTCTTTTTCCTTATCTCCCTTCCTTCTTAAAAACAAACAGGAGACACTGTTGTTCCCACACACATTCCCGAGGCAGATGCAGCATTATGTCTCTTTAATTGGTTTAAATCGCTGTAAATACCTTTCATTCAATGAAAGAGAGACTAAAGGAGAGAGACAGAATATGCTACAGAGGAGGGGTGGAGATGCAGAGACAGACCAGATCTTGTCTTCTAATTGGATTTCATCCTCTTTTTTTCATTTGTCTTCTGTCTGTAAACCTGGACCGTCTCGGTCCAAAATATTCCCCTCAAACAGCAGGCTTCCATCCTTTCCTTCCTCTTCCCCTCTGGTTCTGAATCACCAGGAACAGATCTAAATAAACAGGCATCTTCACAGTCACGTCTCAGAGGACAGTTCACACAGTCACAGCACTTTGGTGTGGCATCTATTGGCATCATTGTGCGGGCAGCACATCAAGAGGCACAGAATAAATTATTCAGTCAAAATTTTATTTAAAAAAACATTAAAAAAGGGAAGAAAAATAGAAGTATGACTCATTTTATTGGTGCTTGGTTGTTTAAAAATCCAGCTTCATATGCATATGGCAACATACATTGATGGTTGTTGCCTGTGTTGGCCAACAATCTATTTAAAGTAATCTTTATAAAAAGTTAAATGTGCATTTAAATCATTACACATACAAATTAATAGTAACATCTCAGTCATTTCATCCTTTTTACGTACTAGGGCTTGGCGATTCAAAATCTTGATTAATTGAACATTCTAACTAACGATTAAAAAACAAAAATTATTATTATTATTATTTGCCCTTATAGTTCACAGACAAGTTTTGTACTATAAATATGCTCACATATCATTTGAGAGAATTTAGACATTTTGAACGGGTGCATTATTTGATTTAAAAATAATTGAAGGAAACACACTATCTACTATCTATGATTATTTATTGAACATTAATGTTGAACAACAGAAATTAAACCACATATTGCACTGGTGTAGTGGTTAGTGCATTGACACATGCACTCCGGTGCTCACAGCGACCCCTCTTCCCCTCTCTCTACTCCCAATGCTTTCCTGTCAATTCTCTCTATTTTCCTATCCAAAATAAAGGTGAAAACCATGAAAAATAATTCTAAAAAAAATAAACAACACACATTGCCTAAAACCAACAGTCACTTTTCTCTTGTAAAAAAGTGAAAATAAATAACTTGCACTTTAAGAAACAAAAATAATTATTAATTTTATTGTTTTCAAAAGTAAAGTAATATTTTAAAATTTTAAACTTGAATTTTCTGTGAACAAATATTTTTATGTAAATAACAATTTTATTGTAATAGAAAATATGCCGCCTCAAGGCATATCTGGCGCAGCTTCTAATCATCATCGTTGTAGTGCAAAAGTGCGATATGTAGTTACATTTTTAAGAGGTATGTGACCTCTCAAAGGGCCATACCTGTGCATTCAATGCAGAAATATAAATCGGCCATAACAGAGTGGAGTCATTGACTCCACACACGGTAGGGAAAGTAAATGAAAAAAAGTACCAGGGAAAATTTGATTGAAATCGACATTCAGAACCTATAATCGTTTACTTTTCATTTATTCATTATTATTCGCCCAGCGCTACTTTATACCCACATTCCACTGGCAGGATTAAACATCATTTGTGTTCAGTCTGTAAATACCATTAAAACAAATCAAATTTCACTATTGCTCACTGAAGAATGCTTCATATGCTTTAGCTATAATATAATCAACAGGACCCAAACACAAGGTCCAGTTTTCTGCACAATGAAAAAAAAAAACAAGACAAAAAGCAAAACCAAAACAGTTTTTAATCTGCAATATAACATAGGAGAACGTCAACCCCAAAATGGAAATTTGCTAACCATTTACTTATCATGAAGTGTTTCTACAACTTTATAATTTAGAATTTTATATTTGTTTAACAATATTCGGGAAAACCATATAAGGCATACATAGTAGAAACAATACTGTGCAAGTCACTGGCTAACATTTACCAGCATTGTCTTAAATATCTTGTTTTGTATCCAACAGAAGAAACAAACTCTAATTGTTTTGGAACAAGCTCTGAGATCTTGGAAAGTATTTTAACATTGAAATACATAACACTCGGAAACAAATAGCAGTGTGCATTTAATACAGCAGCTAGTACAGTGCATCTGGAAAGTATTCATAGCTTCACTTTTTCCACATTTTCTTATGTCACAGCCTTATTCCATAATGAAATACATTCATTTATTTCCTCAAAATTCTACACACAATACCCCATAATGACAATGTGAAAAAGATTTAGCAAAACTGTTGCAAATTTAATAAAAAATAAAAAACCTGAAAAATCGCATGTACAGAAGTATTCATAGCCTTTAGCTTGAAGCTCTAAATTGAGCTCAGGTACATTCTGTTTCCACTAATCATTCTTGAAATGTTTCAGCAGCTTCTTGAAGTTCACCTGTGGTAAAATCAGTTGAGTAGCATGATTTGAAAAGGCATACACCTGTCTATATAAGGTCCCAGGGTTGACAGTGCATGTCAAAGCACAAACCAAACATGAAGACAAAGGAATTGTCTGTAGACCTCCAAGACAGGATTGTCTCGAGGCACAAGGTTGGGGAAGGTTACAGACAAATTTCTGCTGCTCTGAAAGCTTCAATGAGCACAGTGGCCTCCATCATCTGTAAGTGGAAGATGTTTGGAACCACCAGGACTCTTCCTGGAGCTGGCCAGCCATCTAAGCTGAGTGATCGGGGGACAAGGGCTTTAGTCGAGAAGGTGATCAGTAACTTGATGGTCAGTCAGTCTAAGCTCCAGTGTTCTTCTGTGGCGAGAGGAGACTAGTCAGGATAGAGGGAAAGATGAATGCAGCAATGTACAGAGACATCCTACATGAAAACCTGCTTCAGAGTGCTCGTGACCTCAGACTGAGGCGACGGTTCATCTTCCAGCAGGGCAATGACCTAAAGCACACAGCTTAAATATCAATGGATGTCCTTGAGTGGCCTAGCCAGAGCCCAGACCTAAATCCTACCGAACATCTCTGGAGAGATCTGAAAATGGCTGTACACCATCACTTTCCATCCAATCGGATAGAGCTTGAGAGGTTCTGCAAAAGGAATAGGCAAAAATTTCTAAAGACAGGTGTGCCAAGCTTGTGGCATCATATTCAAAAATACTATAATTGCTGCCAAAGGTGCATCAACAAAGTATTGAGCAAAGGCTGTACATGTGATTTTTCAGGCTTTTTAGTTAAAAAAAAAATTGCAACAGTTTCAAAAAATCTTTCACATTGTCATTATTGGGAAATAATTGTAAATTATGAAGTAATAAATGAATTTAATTTGTTTTTGAATAAGGCTGTATAACATAAAAACTATGGAAAAAAGTGAAGCGCTATGAATACTTTCCACATGCACTGTAAAGGCAGATTTGCAGTATGTAAAGGCTTATTAGCAGTGACCCGTTTGTTTCTTCTTTCTGTAGTTCATCAAAACTACGTGGGCACAGATGCAGAGAAAAACCCTTTCTTTCTGTCTGTGGTTCTGTCAGACCAGAACAACCAGAGGGTCCCGCAGTATCGAGCCATCCTCTGGCGCAAGACGGTGAGTCAAGCAGCGACAGGTAACAGCATGTGTGTACGTCACCTTCGCTCAGTGACTCACATCACAGATTGACCTCTCGCGAAGTGACTCGACACTGTTGTCTCAAAGGCCAGCATGCAAAGACTAAATGCCTAAAAACACTGAATGGCACAGTGACACAACTCGCTATTAAATGTCACTTTCCTAGAAGCAGCACAGCCTCAGATTGTAAAACCATGTGTCGCAGCCTGCAGCAATAATGGCTTCCTGTCATGTCATATTCGGTTTCATATTCATATAATTTATGAAGTGTGTCCTTTCCCAGGGTACTCTGAAAATCAGCCTTCCATACAGCCCAACAAAAACACTATCAGTTAAATCCATATTAAGGTAAGTCTGTCTTTATTTTTCTAGAGCTGCATGATTCTTGATAAACTGAGAATTCAGGATTTTGTTTAAAACGGAGATTACAATTCTCCTTCTATTCTGAATAGCCTACTTGACTAAATAACAGCTTGCTACAGGTTCACATGAAATGTTACCTGATGCATACTGTTATCTATAACATATCTGTTTTTAAAACTTCTGCTTAAATGGATGACTCAATGACTTCACTTGTTTGATTAATGAATGATTCAGTATTTTTTGTACAAATCTTGGGGAAAATTTGACTTACTCAAAGAATTGACTTGTCTAATTAGTGGATGAATCATCTTTTTGAACATATCTATTGAATAAAAGATTTAATAAATCACTCAAAGTCTATACTTGTTGGATTATTGAAGGAATCCACATTATTACTCCTTAACAGGGACTGTCGATTGGAACATTTTTCTGTACTTTTATTTTAGTGAACATGAGCTTTTCTTGACAACCTATAAATCTTCCTTTTATATAGTTTTCAAGGTGACAAGGGGGTAAACTATGTCTTGAATGATTCAATGACTCATATACAATAGTCCATCATTTATCGCGTAGTTACGTTCTAAAAATTACCCGCAATAGGCGAAATTTGCAAAGTAGTCAGCTTTATTTTTCTACAGTTATTCTAGATGTTTTAAGGCTGTAAAACCCCTCACTACTGAATGAAGCAGCAGTTTTTAACAAATCTACTGAATGATTCAGTGCCTCACTCATAAAGGTTTCACTGGTTTAATTCATGGGTGAATCAGCTTTTGTACAAATCTTTTAAATGAAAGATTCAGAAAATCTCTAAGACTAAACTTTCTTGATTACTGAATGAATCAATTGTAATTAATAATATAAAAAAACATTCACTAGATCAAATCTCTTAAATAAATAATTCAACAACATTTGTTTTACATGTACAATTATTTGTTGCCTTCTACCGAAAGGGCTGACATAGTGAGGAAATTTCTCTTAAACAAAATCTGGATGGTTAAAAAAAACAACACCAACAATTCTGCATACTGTATATAAAGATTGCAGCTCCATATACAGCTCTGGTGTCAAGTTAGCACATATTTTAAATTACAGGGCATGTTATAAAATATTTTTATTTATGTGTTTTTATTAGCAGGATGGGGGTGAGTCCCTGTCACAGATCCTCTCTTTTTTGGACTTTTTTGTTACAAACTTTGTATTAGCTGATCTGAATTAGCTGGCTCTCCCTTTTTAATCAGTTAAAAGCCGAAATAATGCCAAACTGATGACGTAACATTCGATTTTTTTGGACTAAAGCTCCCATTTCTTCAGTCTTAATACACTGAAAACAATTTGCAAAACAAACCTAAAACACTCTTGTATCCATTATTCATTTCCTTTACATTCAGCGCACAGTGAAAAGCGAACACTGCGATTTCTGTTGTTGCCTTTATTTTTTCTGCAGTTGGCTTGTCAGTTGACGGTATTGCGAAATTGAGGTAATCTGGACAGCCCTACCTACTGGCATAGCAAAAATGTATTTCTTAAAGTGCCAAGTCACATTAAAAAGGTTATTTGTTTTGTTTTGATTGCTATTATAGACATAAGTGTTTCTTTATGGACTGTCAAAAGTTTAATACACATGGCAAAATCAATGTCATTTCAGAATCAGACACATTACAAATAAGATCTACTAATTATGCAACTCTATTATCCACCCTTCTCATCAGTAAATAAACGCATATGCAATCATTTGAATGCACACTTAGACCCTCTTAACACTTTCCCCCTCCAGTGCCATGAATGTGGATCGTTTTGAGAAGGGCCCGAGGGAAATCCTCAACCCAGAGATTCAGAAGGTGCCCACCCACCCACACCCGTCAATCAACATCACATGTCCTCTGCTCTGTTAATTACTGTCGGTTTCTCCACCGGTTTGTTGTTCTGCTTCATAATCACTTCAGGATTCAAATGCAGATGCCGTCTGAGCTGCTGTCGCTCCAGAGAGCTTTGCTTTTGTGGAAACGTGTGCAGCTAATCAAAGGCCATTGTCAGTGGCATGCAGATATTTGAATGCATGAACACGCTCTCTGTAATGTTTGTGGAGCCCACACTATTAGTTCTCCTAATTGATGTTTAGAAATGTAACCTCATTTGAAACTGGTTGTTTTATTGTGCTGAGATATAATTGATGTTTTGAGCTAAAAGGTGTGTTTTTTTATGTTGCTGCCAGGACTTACTGGTGCTGGAGGAGCAAGAGGTATATACTCTCAAATGTGTGAGAAGAAATGACCATCTCTGTGATTTGAATTTTTTTTTTTTTGTAAATTCTCATTGAACGCTGATTATATGTATTTGCTTGTTCTTTACAGGGAAGCGTTAACTTTAAATTTGGTGTTCTTTATGCCAAGGACGGACAGTTGACAGATGATGAAATGTTCAGCAATGGTGAGCACAGCACCACTCGCAATGTACTCAGAATACTAATTAAATATTTCTTTCTTTTCTGCACAGATGAATAACCTGTACATTTGTAAAATTACATGCATTGGTGTATATCTATGTCTGTGTGTGTGTCTGTGTGTGTGTGTGAGAGAGAAAGAATCTTATTATTTTATTTCATTTATTTTCTTTAATATTAATTTTGATTTTGCTTTGTACTATTTTCAGAAATGGGAAGTGAGACCTTTGAGAAATTTCTGAATCTCCTTGGTGATACGATCTGTCTACAGGGCTGGGCAGGGTACCGAGGAGGACTCGACACTAAGAGTAGGATACAAATATACATGTGTTTGCATATTACTAGAGGGGTTTTCTTCCTTCAGCTGAATAGGCTCATTCATGTTCTCTCTCTCTTTATCTCCCTCTCACTGTTTGTTTAGACGACACTACAGGAATAAATTCTATCTACACAGTCTATCAGGGTCACGAGCTCATGTTCCACGTTTCCACCATGTTACCTTATTCTAAAGAGAACAAGCAACAGGTAAGTTGTAAACATTTTAGTTGAAATTTTAGTTGTTGTTTTTTTTTTTTTTTGCTTTGTTTTTATTTAACTTTTTGTAATATAGACATTTATTTTTAGTACTGGGTTAAACATATGCTGGATAAGGTGGCTTTTTATTCCTCTCTGGTGATCCCTGATGAATAAAAGGACTAAGCCGAAGGAAAATGAATGAATGAATGAATATAGGCATTAATTATCAGTACCGGGTTGTGGCTGGAAGGGCATCTGCTGCATAAAACATATGCTGTAATAGTTGGTGGTTCATTCTGTGGCAACCTCTGATAAATAAAGGACAAAGTCGAAGGAAAATTAATGAATAAATATAGGCATTCGATAATCTGAGGCTAGTAAAATTGACTAAATTTAATAGTAATGTGGAGAGTGATATTTTAATATTGTGAGGGCAAGTATGAATTTTAAGCAGCCATTTTCGCATGATCTTTCCAAAATCATTCATTTTTTTAATTGACAAAAATTTAAAACAGCATTATTTTTATGTATTTACTGCTACTTTTAATAATTTTACCATTCATTTGTGTGTATTGTACAAGTACAGTCTGTACAAGCATTCATAATATACATTCTTTTTTTTGACCATCTGACCACCCAAATTTTGAATAGTAAAGTAAATTAAAAATTATTGGACAAATTCATTCAGTCATTAATATTCTTTTTCGGCTTAGTCCCTTTTTTAATTTAGGGTTGCCATGAACAGCCAACTTATCCAGCATTTGTTTTACGCAGAGAATGCCCTTGCAGCTACAACCCATCACTGGGAAACATACACACACTCATACACTACAGACAATTCAGCCAAACCAATTCACCTATACCACATGTTTTTGGACTTGTGAGGGAAACTGGAGCACCCGGAGAAAACCCACGCAAACACGATGAAAGCATGCAAATTCCACACAGAAACGGCAACTGAACCAGCCGAGGCTCGAACCAGCGACAGCGAAGATGCTACCCACTACGCCATCGTGCTGCCTACTGGACAAATATCTATCCAATGATAAATATTTCTTTCTTTCAAATTCTTTTTACCCATTTTTAAATTTAGATTATGTTAGTAATCTGATGAATAAAAAATACATCAATTATCAACCATTGCATAAAAATTTATCACATTTTTCAGTTCCTAATATGTTTATTTCTTAATAAACTACTATGGCTATACTCTTGGAAAGAATCAGGTTTGGCAATTACAAAATTAAAACTAGAAAAGATAGAGGCCCTATCCCAATTCTATTTTTGTCCTCCTTCCCCTCCCCCTTGGCCCTTAAAACAGAGTGTGAAGGGGAAGAACTTCAAATTTTACCCCTAAGAAATGGGACAGCACTACAACACCTGCACACATCATCATATGTCATCGCGATCTCTTACCACATAAGAGATCAGACAATCGGACTGCTGTAGTTATTCCAGTCGTGTTATTTTTTTGGTATTTATCTTCAGGAAATCACTGAAGGCAACGATATCATGTTATCATGAAGATATAATGTGGCAATGAGATCATAACTGTACTGTGCATTTACACCCTGGCCATATCCATCTATGTAAACACACGGAAAGAACATTAGTGTTGTACCAGACACTATAAAAAGCCCATTCCCAGCCACTAGTCTTTTCTGACAGGGGATTCCAGTGTTATCGAGTGTTGGATGTGAAAGTATGTTATGGGACTGCTATAAAGGAGTTATTATTATAGATAGCAAAATTTAGCAGTTTTTTATTTTAGGGTTTTTTATTTATTTAAGCATGACAGTAAAATACAAACACAATTATGAATGTATTGAAACATATGCTTCGCAATAATAACAAAAAAAAACTAATTTGTGCAACTCCTGACTTCTGTGTGTAGGCATGCTACCGTTTTTGTACCCCTTGGTTTCAAGTGTGGTCCTTAAAAAATTCAGTTTCAAGAGCTATCTAGCCCTTCCCCTTAGCCCTTTCAAGCTAAAGACCCCCACCCCTTCAAGTGAATGCACAAAACAAGGGGTAGGGGTAAGGGGAAGGGCTACCAGATAGAATTGAGATTGAGCCTTATAAGCACTGTTCAATTAGGATTCACCATTGTCTAAAAACAATCAGGACTCTTCACATTTTGGTCCTGATTGATTCACACCATCAATAAGACCAATAGAAAAGAACGGAATGAGAGAAACTTCTGTTGAATTAGATGTCAATTCATTTAAATTAAACTATGATATATATAGAGAAGCTCCACCCCTAACCACAGCCCTTAACATTACATTAACTGGGATGAATGCAGATTGCATAAACCAAAACAAACTTTAATGAAAGTGCATTTGTATAGCGCTTTTCACAAGAATTATCATTCACAAAAAAGTGCTGGTTATTACATTACAATCAAAATCACATGAGATTGTGTGAATTCATAGACAGTTAGCACTAATGAACACATAAAAAGTTATGAATTGTCATGTTAGAAAGACAGAGAGCGGACAGACAGAGAGGAGGAATGAAAGAGAATTCTGAATGACAGCGAGACTGAGAAAAGGGAGCTGCGTGTGTTTGTTGAGGCAGAAAGGAGCCAGTCTGTAGCTCAGTAGGTGGTGAGGGGAAAACAGGCTATATTTAACATCCAAAAGCGCTGGACATCACAGCGGTCAGTCTCTCTCTCTCTCTTTTACTTTCCCCCTTCCCCCCTCAGCTCCATATCCTGATTACATCAGGCGTCAATCACTCGTCTCTCTCACTTCATATCCTTCTCTTCTCCTGATTACATCACATAGTAGTCCTTTCTCTCTCTCTCTGTCTGTCCATTTCTCACTTTTTCTCTCTGTTGGATCATATGTCTGATTGAGTACGAGTAGAGCTCCTTTGCACTAGAGTCCTTGTGGAAGCTTCACAATGGCAGGATTTTCAAAGCATTCGTGTCGGTTCAAGGTCTCGGCCCTCTACAGCCGAGAGCCTCTTCAGCTCTCGGTGTCAATAACCAACTTCACCAAAGCTGATCCACCCGTGAAAAGAGCAGTAAACCTCAGATGAGACACGTCTCTAGTCGGCTCTAAAAGCATGCAGACAAACCAAACACAAAAAAGCAGATGACTCAAGAATCAAGTACTGTTTACAAAGGAGAAAAGTCTCTTCTTGAAAGAAAACTGACCAAAATGTTTTTAAACAAAGACATTAAAACATGTTCTGTGATCTTCTGCACCTCAGAAATTCATTTTATAAGTTTAAAATGTTTTTAAAACGGCATGTTTGTAATAAAGAGAGTAAAACCGCTATGTAATTCTTAACCAATATAATCACCACGACTGCATGGTGTCAGTTAAAAGATAATATGTATGTGTGTGTACTGCACACGGCATTTGTGTGAGACTCATCATTTCATTAAAGCTTGAATAAACTCCAACACACATACATCAAACAAACTTACTTTGTATTATTGACTAGTGACCTTATTTTAGCTTCATCTGTGTCTCTCTCTATCACTGACTGCTGTTTATCTGAAGTAACGCATGAGAAGCAGACAAGCACATCGAAGCGAAAGGCAGGGAGAAGCAGCTCAATTGCATTTAAAGCCACAGGCTACAAAAACAGCTACACTGTACTCAGACACCAACATGGGAAGATTCTATATTTTAAGAAAAAAATCTGATGTGTATTTTGAGCTGAAACTTTTGACACATTCTGAAGACATTAAAGGCTTATCTTACATCTTGTAAATGGGGTAGAATATGTGTCCTTTAAGGACCAGGGGTGTAAAGTAACAAATTACAAATACTCAAATTACTATTTTTTTTTAAAGAATTGTCATTTACTAAGTAGTTTAAAAACTGTGGACTTTTACTTTCCCTCGAGTACATTTTTAGTGCGGTATCGGTACTTTTACGCGACTATTTTCCTTCAACTTGCAGTCACTACTTTTTATCTATAAGGATAGGCTAAAGTAGAAAAAAACCTGCAATTCCAGTCCAATCAAATTTTGCATCATAACAAACAATTTCAAGACATGTATGGAAAGTACCCATGAAGATGTCCAAAATCTTCACACGCAATCCCCCAGAGATTGTTTAGATGGCATGTCACTGATGAAAAGATGACTCAAATCGTCAAATGACCTTAAACATTCCCTAATTGCACTACGGAATGTTACATTTCACACACATAACTACATGTAAATGCATCAACCTTTCACAGTGTAATACTCACTACTCTTGAGTACTTTTAAGGGCTACTTTTTACTCATGCTTTGAGTAACATTTACAACAGATACTGTTACTCTAATCACACTACATTTTTGGGCAAGTAATACTTTTACTTGAGTATGATTTTTCAGTACATTTTTAACCACTGTTATTGACTGACTTCAGTGGAATCTTTTCATTTATTATTGACTATCTGCTGAAACAACAGTACAATTTATAGTATATATGAATATTATACTATAGTTCAGGTAAATTATTGTCAGTTTTGGTTAACTTTGCCAACAAAAAAAATACCTATGAACACTTTTGTGCATCACCAATAAGCAAAGCAGTGTTTATTTTCCAAATTAGTTTGTGATAAAATGTTTATTTGATTCTTTTCTCATGTAACAGAATATTAGTTGTAACAAATGTAAACTATTATATTAGATTAATAAACCAACATCAAAAGAACAGCATTTATTTGAAATACAGCGCTCAGCATATAAAGTACGCCTCTCACAAATCTATCTTTTAAATTCATATTTTTAATAGGAAGCTATGCAATATTATATTTGTGAATAAACATTAGTCACTACTGACGCCAAATCTGGAGCTTATCTATAAAAACTAACTTACGATATCGCTCCAAAAAGTACAGCCAAATGTATATGTTATAGAAAAATGTTAAATACACATTTTTAAAAAAAGAGGAAAAATCAAGAGAAGCAAAAAAATAGAAAAAATTAGTTGAGATTTTGTAGGTTGTGATTTTTTTTTTTTTTTTTTTGCAATATTTTGTTTAAATTTAATTGTACTATTTTTTAATTTCTAAATATGTTTGGTTACTAAAATATTATTGTAATAAACATATTTTTTAAATAAATCTGTTCTGCTTAAATGCACCAAAAATACATTGCCTATATTCACTGAGAAATGGATAAAAATGTTCATTTTCAAAATGGGGTGTACTCAATTATGCTGAGCAATAGATATATTTTTCTAACAACACACACACACACACACACACACACACACACACACACACACACACACACACACACACACACACACACACACACACACATATATATGATATATATCCTAAGCTGTCTAGAGTACATACTGAGGAAAAGTCAAATGTTATTCTGTTTTTCACATTTGGACACTTAAAGATATCCAAAAATCCATTAAAACAAACATGATCATGTAATTATGACCTGTTGTATGGGAGGGTGGTTGGGAGGTGATATACAGTTGTGTCCCATTTAAAAAGCATACAACAACATAGTTTTGGAAGAAAGTAAATAAATAAAGACAGAAATCTATTTTGTGGTGAACTATTCATATAGTATATATAGTCAGATGCTTTTACTCAATACAAATTACAAAAGTACTTCATTATAAATCCAACAATATCCAGGTTTATTATAAAAATGAATTAGTAGGAATAATCTACAATAAAGTAAATAAAATAAATAAAATGCAGAAGTCAGTCATGAAAGCCTGTTTGTGTTTTTCGAATGCTGTATGTCACTGGCTGCATGTTCTGGTGTGAGGGTGAAGGGAAGTGGCAGAGAATCATAATTGAGCTCTCAGTAGAAATGAATCTGTCAGAGCAATAAGTAAATACTCATTCCTGTCACAGCTCACGGTCATGCGGATATATCTGTTCGTTTGGATGTGAGGGGGAGAGCCAATGAGAGGGAAGGCAGCAGGTGAAAAGCAGCCATGTAGTAATTGAGCTTTAAGGGGATGTTTCACATGTGTGTGCGCTCTTGAGATAAAAGATAAAAGCTCCTTTTCTACCATAATGGTCCAGACTCATTAACAAGCTCAATTATGCTTCCTGGCTAACAGGCTTGAAGTGTCATAGGTCATTTACCAATGTATGAATGTCCACACATGCCAAACACATACACACAATAGGCAGGTACTCTTTTCAAAATGAAAAATTTGTCCATCTTTTGTTAATATTAAAGACAAAAAAGTGTTGGCATAATATTTTGAGGTAATAAAAGTGTATTTTAAATTGTTAGCAAAGTGTGATCATTGCTTTTTTTTTTTTGACTGTGTAGGTAGAGAGGAAGAGACACATTGGGAACGACATCGTGACCATCGTGTTTCAGGAGGGAGATGACGCCTCGCCGTCCTTTAAACCCTCCATGATTCGCTCCCATTTCACACGTATCCTTCATACTAGAGTGGAAAGGATGGAATGAGTCACTCAGTGTGACAGTGTTTAGGCTGTGTTTGTGGGGGATGTTTTTTAATACAACAAAATGATTTTAAAAATGACATCCAAATTTGCTTGTGTAAGTAGTTTTCAAAATGTTTTCCTTGACAAACCACTTAGATATTTTTGCCTTAGTTCGATATAATAGCCAGAATGATAGTTATAGGTATGTATGTATGTATGTTTTACTGTTTGTACATAGTGAATATGTGGAATTATTTGTTATAAATATAGATTAAATGTTAATACACTGGAAGTGTATGTCTTTAACCATTTGGGGCTAGTAAGTTAAGAAATTTAGAAAGTTACGTAAAGAAATGGATTTTTTTATCCTGTAAATTTATCTTTAATGACTGTTAAGAAATGTACACTCTTCCAAAGGATTTAAGATTTAGAAGTTCTTCTAAACTTTCTATTTATCACTGTATCCTGTAAAAATATATCACACTTTGCACAATTGTTAAAAATGACAAGAATTTTGCTGACCATTTGCATATGTTTTGACCTGCCCACAGCTGGCCACCTTTTGGTCAGGCGTTTTTAATACATTCAATAAAGCCCTCTAATATCAATATATAACCTGATCCTTTGCGACCCCTTATTGGAGTATCCCTTGAACCTGATTTAACAGTCCATGACAGAAAGGTTGTTGCCTTTACCACAGTTTTAGCCAGACGTGCCATACTTCTAAAGTGGAAACACACTTTCCCCCACACATAATATATTATAAGGGATTACTTTCTTGACTACATCAAAGGCCTGCCTATTACACCTGGTACTGGCAACCTGTAACATTTACCATTTTATTAGAAGGGGTTTGTTTGTATTTTTTTCGATCTGTATCCAGTCATGTACTTACTTAAGGTACTTAATTTGTTATTTATGTATTTTTTTTATTATTTATTGTTGTTCTGTTAATTGAGTTAATGAATAAGAGGTTAGGGAATGGGATTAACAATGCACAATTACTGTTTACCTCTCAATATTTAATTTGCATTGTCATACAAAAGACCAATAAAAAGATTGAAATATAGATTCGAAGACTTAAAAGAAATGACAAGAATAAAATAAATTTTACAATATACTCAAAAACAAAACAGTTACTTTACTTAACCCCTTAACTGTAACTGTCCACACGTGTGATGAATTTTCTATACTTAATTATTACATAATTTTGTCAAATCCTGAACTTGTCTTGACAAACTGTATATCAGTTTAGAGTTAAACGAAAGATTAAGGGATCCAGTACATTCAGACCAATTATTATACAGCTTTTCTCAAAATAAATAATTGTATGAGTATGTTATATTAGTGAAACGTTCACCTGTTTGTATCTTATAATCCAGTGTTTCTCAACCATGTTCCTGGAGGACCACCAGCACTGCATGTTTTGGATATCTCCTTTGTCTGTAACACCTATTACAGGTCTTTCAGTCTCAGCTAATGAGCTGATGGTCTGAATCAAGTGTGTTTGGTCAAGGTCCAGGAGACATGGAATATGTTCAGAGCTGGTGATTCATCCAGGAATGTGGTTGAGAAACACGGTTGTAGTCCATTGCGGGGTATGAAACACAATCATTCAATTTGAGCACAACAAAACTACAGTACTAACATTAGAGATATCCTTATGTTTACAATGTTGTCAATAACTGTAACAGAGCAGCTTAGTTTGTATATGATGTTAAAGAGAATGAATCTGCAATACAAACGATGAATGTGGAGAATAACACAGCTCAGAATGTCACAAGAGACTATTAACTAATTACAATCAAGTAATCGGGCCCATGTATTAAATGATCATATTAATTAACACTATCACTTCAATATTAAAATAATTACTATTTCACTGTTTTTGATCAAATAAATGCAGCTTGCTAAATGTAAGAGTCTCCTGTCAAAACTTTTTTTAAAGTTCACCAACTTCAAATGTTTAGTGTATGTTTTCCATCAGTGAATCATTTTGTCATGTTGCAGGTTGAAGATTTTCTCAGAGGAAAGTGTGCCACTTTTTGGTCCCCCTCTCCCTTCCCCACCAGTGTTCACGGACCATCAGGAGTTCAGGGACTTTTTACTAGTTAAATGTAAGTAAACTTGCCAGCACGTGGTCATTTTATAAACACCTAAAAAGGTTTTGTTACTATAATCTGTCATCAAACTGTACCAACTCATTAACAATATCAAAAAGCCATTTAACACTGAAATCACAGCACTACAAATATTTCTCTCTGAATGGTCCAGTTCAGTCAAAAACAGATTACCGAATTAAAATGCTTGCTAAATGCAGTTTCATGTTGTCTGCACCACATTGAAAACACACCTGTGTTTTTCTGTTGCCAGCTTTAATGATTTGTTTTGGCTCAACATCTCGTTAACGCAGATGCTTTCATTAAACAGACCCCATAAAACGTGTCATGCTGTTTCCCGAGGGTAGTTCTGTTACATAACACTGGCACCCTTATCTTTCTGTCTGCTGTAGTAATAAATGGAGAAAAAGCCACTCTTGAGACCCCCACTTTTGCTCAGAAACGTCAGCGTACACTGGACATGCTGATCAGATCCCTGTACCAGGATCTCATGCCTGACATGCACAAGGTATGGACACACAATCTAGAGCAGTGTTTACCAACCACAGGGCCGGAGACGCCTAAAATTCCTTAACATGACTTGAGATCCTTTAAAATTAGATAAAACAATTACCTTTTTTTTTTTTTTTGCATAACCTGGAACCTTAAAAACACAAGTAAGCATTAGCTTATTAATTTTTAAAAATGTGATTTCCATCTCTTAATCAAGTCATGGAAATAAAATAAATACAGATTTTGCTAGCTATGCCAAGCATTGAAATATAGCGTAGTATTTCTTGAGAAATGATGAGTAGAATTTACATTTAAAACTTATCTAGTAACTGGAAAAGTCACCAGGCTTTTGACTACTGTTATGAGCAATGAGTCAAAAAGGTTGAGAACCAATGACCTAGTCCAGTACTTGCATGTATTTATGTTTATCCTCAAGCTATTATTCCTTCTCCAGGCTTTTGTTTCCTTCTTTTATGTACAACTTTTCCAAACCACTGAGCTTTCAAATGCAGTTTTATTCTCATGCAGCCCTCTGCAAGCCGTCTCAAGCCGTCTTTTTATTGTTTTATATTCTTGTTTCTATTCAATTCAATTACTAAAATTGGGAGATTATTTGAATTTGCATTTTAATGGAAGGGAAAGTTGTTTGTTGGCAAATAAAACGAAGAAAAATGACATCTTGTTGCTGTGACAAATGTTGCTGTTGTGTTACCCTCGAATGCAAAAACGAACAAAAGGTCCAACCACTGTGGTCTGACTCTTAAAGGAAATTAATGACAACAAATGGGGCGGGAAGAAGCACTGCTAAACATAGTTGATGATAGAATAAAAGGAACAAGAACTGTTAGAATTGGAATCAAAATTTGAACTATTAATTCTTTATTATGATTATTAACCTATTTATTATGGCTAGTAAAGAGAATGGTATGATTCAGAATGAACTAGAGCATCATGGTGGCGCAGTGGGTAGCACAATCGCCTCACAGCAAGAAGGTCACTGGTTCAAGCGTCGGCTGGTTCAGTTGGCATTTCTGTGTGGAGTTTGCATGTTCTCCCTGTATTTGCGTGGGTTTCCTCCGGATGCTCTGGTTTCCACCACAGTCCAAAGACATGCGCCATAGGTGAAATGGGTAAGCTAAATTGTCCGTAGTGTATGAGTGTGAATGAGAGTGTATGAATGTTTCCTAGTGATGGGCTGCAGCTAGAAGAGAATCCGCTGCGTAAAACATATGCTGGATAAGTTGCCGGTTCATTCCACTGTGGCGACCCTAGATTATTAAAGGGACTAAGCTAAAAGTATTCTCACATAACTCAGAATAGACAGTTAAACAAAATTACTTGATGTTCAGCTTTTCTAACAAGTCTTTTAAACTATGATTCATTTTAAATAATAGTTTTTTTTTAAAGGTAGGCTATTTGTTTCCACCTACGGCGTAACAGTGAAACTGATCAAATCTTCCAAAAGTCCAATTTTTTTCTTCTTATAAGTGTTATTATATTAATATAAATCAATGTTTATATACAGAATGGCAATGAGCTTTAGGGTCATTTCGACTCAGGGCTCCTAGCTTGTCCGAGCAATTAAGGAACGATACGCACATGGTGTGCAAGTGGCGTGCACCTGACATGCTCGCATTTTCCACCTACATCTATTTGAAAAACATCTTTTCAGAATGCCGTGAGTGCACTGCAATACATGTAACTAGAACTAACCAATCTACTTCACACTTTGCATGGAATATAGACATTTCGGTGATAATGGCAGACTAATTAGCCAACTTCAGACAAACACAAAGCACCCAAACACTGCAGTGCTTTTTAATTTTGTCCATAAATGAAACCTGTACTAGAAATGGAGCGATGGTCTGGAAACGGTGAACGATGATCACCTAGTTACGAAAGACGCCAGGGGAGCGCTACTGCAAAACGCATTGAAAATGGTCAAGGAATCCACGCACCACTTTCACCTGCTTTTAGACGCAACTTGTGAACAGACTCAGGTTGACATCAGAGCACAATAACACACGCGAAAAATGACAAACAGCAGCTGTGAGGAGATTAAAGAAAAAAAAAGGATGTCGCCAGAGTAGCTTTTGGTTTCCCAGTCCCTAGCTCCCCATCAGAAAGATTTTTTTAGCATAAAGGGTAATGTAGTTTGTGTGTTTGAATGATGTTTGATTCCTTTACTTGAAAGCTTGTAAGGGTTGTAAAAAGTTGTAAGGTCTGATCACAGCTTTTCTGTGATCATCTGTCCTGTGTTTGTAATAACTAGCCTGATCTCAAATAAATGGGAACTATTTTATTCTATTCTATTTACTGTCGGAAAAGTGGCTAATTTCCACTATTTGATACAATTGAATTTGTACAATTTTCAAATTTATGATTTTTAAAAGGAGGTGAGCCCACAAACCCCATGCCCAAATGTCATTGCGCAAATCAAGCAAAAATATATGAATGATATACAAATTCATACAAATTAGCCACTAAATCTAAATATTAAGAACAGCCACGATATTGCGTTGAAAATACAAAGACAATATACATGATATTTGCTCTCTCTGGGGTAAACTGATTTGCTATATCAATAGTATTAGTAGACTTATCCAAATCATTGACAAGAACAGTAATAAGACTGAAGGTGTTTGAGTCAATGTAATAGATATTTTAACTACTATAAGCATCTGTTAGTCTCTGCTTTGCTCTGTCTTTCTGGCTGTTTCTGGGTCAGTCTCTCAGACCCATGTTTATCTGTACTGCTCCTGTAGGTTCCCTTCTCTCCGCAGAACATGCTGAATCGACGCTCATTCAGCGATGTCCTGCCAGAGTCACCTAAATCCGCCCGGAAAAAAGAGGAGGCACGTCAGGCTGAGTTCGTTAGGGTGGGACAGGTAAGATGTAGATTTAGCCAACATCCTGCATATGCCATGAATGCAACATGACAAAATGAGTAATGTTATTAATAACAATAATGTTTCTAGGCCTTAAAGCTAAAAACTATAGTTCGAGGTGATGCGCCCACCAGTCTAGTCACCACTGGCCTTTGCAGGAAAGAGGTAAGAGGCAAAAGGAAAATGAGAGGGGATGTTTTTTGCTTAAGATATATCTCTGACTTTGTGTTTCTACCATCTTTTCAGCCATGGGAGTCACAGTCGTTCTGCAGCAGCTTCCCTTATGATATAGTCTGTGGAGACTCATGGGGTCAGTCATTACTGGTCGCCACAGATTCAGCAGGAGTCATGCTGCTGGAGGGTGAGAATGCTTTATCACAGCTGGAGAAACTGGCAGACTTCTGAAAATTATATAGAAAATACAGGCTGAATGTAACTTCTGCCAGCCTCTTTTTGACAGATCCACATGGATCAGATGAATGGGCATAAAATTTGAACCGAATGAGTTTTATACTTCCTTAAAGAGGGAAATAACATGAAAATTCTGAAGAAAAAACAACAACGCAACCTTTCATGGAACACAAAATAAAATGACAATGCCTTTTTATATACAGTACAGGGAACAACAACCTGTCAACCTTTTTAATTTAGATATTTTGCAAACTACTGATGAAACTATTTCGATACATAATACATGTCATTTAGTGTGTGTTTTTTACATGAAAAAACAAATAAGGTGCCAGAAAAGTTAAAAAAATTTTTTTTTTTTGAAAAAATAAAGTTAGGAAAGGCATGGGCTGGTATAAGATTCTAATGGTGTGATAACCTTGGATAAAAATCATAGTTTTATCATAGTTGGTTTCACGGTATCACGGTATTGTGATTACTGTTTAAAAGTATGTTCTTTTTAAATGTCTAGGTTAAATACAAAATCTTTTTTCCCCTTTTGAACATAATATATTTTATTTTGAGAAGCATTTAAAGAGCCCATATTATACATGAAATAGGGTCATATCTTGGTTGTAAGGGTCTCCAACAACAGTCTAATATGCATGCAAGGACAAAAAACACTTTCATGTTCTTATAATCTGCATTTATTTTTACCTAATTATCCCAGCGACTCCTGTATGAATCGTTCAGTGATTCATTTGTTCCCAAACCCCTCCTTAGCGCGAAGCTAATCTACGCTGATTGGACCGATGACAGTCTGTCGCGATTGGTCGACTGCCTTCAGTCAGAGAGTGAAATGGCCAATAGCTAATCAGCAATTTAAAAAGTAATCACAGTTCATACACGCTAGATAGTGTAGGCGTGGATTTTAGCTGCCACACACACACACAAAAACACACACACACCTCCGGACGAGAACGCTCCCGCTTCCGCCCGCACTCGCCAGGTTTTAGCCTTAGAACCCGCCCCGTATTCTGCCCGCCGCGCCCGATCCCGCTAAAGAGCGGGGGAGAACAAAACCGAAAATCCCCCAGATATACAGTCCAGACAGCTGTCTGTATAAACACACACACAGCATACCACACACCAAGCATAAAGCTCTCGCTCTCTCTCTCTCTCTCTCTCTCTCTCTCTCTCTCTCTCTCTCTCTCTCTCTCTCTCTCTCTCTCTCTCTCTCTCTCTCTCTCTCTCTCTCTCTCTCTCTCTCTCTCTCTCTCTCTCTCTCTCTCTCTCTCTCTCTCTCTCTCTCTCTCTCTCTCTCTCTCTCATACGCGCGCGTGCGCACTAACACACAAGCACCAAGCAGACACATCTTTCTCTTTCTCAGGCAGCCCGCTCCCGTCCCAAATCAAACCCGTTACCGACCGCTCCGGCGATTTATTCGGAAATTTATTCCCGCGCCGCAGAAATCTGGCGCGGGGACAGCCGCGGGTATGCAGACCTCTAACGTTACCACGGAGCTCCATAAACAAAGCAGCACGCGTCGCGTTTTTAACGTGACTTTGCACGCGATAAGAGAATATAGCCAGTTAACCTGATACAGTACACTCGGTTACAAGTAACAAATCACAACTAAATACATTTGCAAGCTAGAGTCAACGAGGCAACAACTTTAACCGCACGTACTTACACTTGAGAAATGGAAGAAACCCATCCTGATGTCCATCAGTAAGTTACTGATCCTTCCTTTAACAAACGCAGATGAAGTATTCTTTGTAGCATGTAGCTTCCAGAAGTTTCCAGTAGTTTCCAACTGCTTGGCTATAATGCTGAGGTTTCATCTTTGGGTAGAGACTCAATATAATATCCATCTGCAATGTGACTTCAATCGACCGGCATGTTTGTGTGCGTGTGTTTGTGGGTGTGTGTGTGTGTGGGTTACTGCGTCAGAGGGCGGGGCCTCAGGTTTGAAATCTCCCGGGTTTGCGCGTGCACGTGAATAACTTGGTTTCATTCGTACGTCATGGCGAAACACCTAATGAGTCGGTATCAAGGCGACTCGTTTGAAGCACTATGAATCGACTCTTTTATAGATGAATCAACCGTTTTAAACACTGTATTCTTACAGATTTAAGCCTTAGCTGGATACATCACTTCACTTAGAACTGTGTTACACACTACATGGAGGGGGATTTTCAAAAACCCATAATATGGGCTCTTTAAAATATTTTGGAAGAGTAAACATGTCAGGCTGAATAAATTATTGAATTTGCTGTCTTTGTTTTAAAAGCAAATTTTTTAAACAATTTAAAACTGCACCTTTAGATATCTTTGCTGCTGAAGATAAAAAAGTTAATAAAAAAATCGTACAAATACCTTAGGAACGATATAGCTGAAAATGTTGACGGTTTTACCGCGGTATACCATGAAAACGGTTATCATCCCATACCTATTAGGAAATCAATGTTTAGTGGAATAACCCTGATTTAAACACTTTCAAAACACAACAATTCAAATATTTGTCATTTTTACCAACTAACATTTTCTAAAGAAAAAAAAACATGATATCTATTTTTGAAATTTGAAAAAAAATTTATTATACCAAAAAATATCAATCATTTACTCAAACCCATACCCAACTAATCTTGTATTTTGGGGGGTCTTTTAATTTTATATTTAGATTTACTACATTTAATAACATTTTATTTTGACATTTTATTTTATATTTATATTTATTTTGCGCCTTAAAATGTACCTTGTAAATTAAAAAATACCAAACTGCATTGATTTTTTTTTTATATTGTATATGTGTAATGCATATGGCACTTCCTCCATCTTTAAAACTTGCTGAAATCTGATTATGTCTTCCCCAGCTTCAGATCCGCTGTTCTCCAATGCAGGTATGTGAAACCAATCCGACAACACTACATATAAATGTACATTATATGTAATACAATACATTTGAATTACTACTGAACGTGTCTTTTAATCAACCAAAGCAAGAGATTCTCAATTTGAGACAGAGTTACCATGCAAACCGCAAACTAATTTTGCTTTGCATGCTGGTCTAGATTCACCAACCCTGCCTCCGGTGCAGGTATTTGACAAAACCTTGACCGTCAAACAAATGCACGTGCTTGAACCTCAGGACCTCCTCATTGCAAGAGCAGACAAAGGTAGGAAATGTGTTTGCTTTCATATTCATATGAGCAAATGAAAATGGTACAGATCTTGGGTGGGTAAAAGAAAGTGTGTACAATTGTCTGCCAAAGGAGAGAGAGAGAGAGAGAGCGAGAGAGAGCGTGAGAAAGAAACAATAAACCGGTGAAGGAAACTCTTGGTCTTTGCTCTAATGAGCATCTTTATCCAACTGGGAATAGCACAAAATAGTATCTCAAACACACACACTCAGGCACCATCTCTGGTTCACATTGTCTAGACTTAAAGCTCATTATAAGGAAAAGCACAGAGTAGAGATCCATGTAATTTAGTGTCTACCACCATCTTCTATTCTGATCATTACTGCAAGACACATGCACAGCAAACTCTGAGTTTTATTGGCAAGCACAGCTCTAGCAGAGGGAAAATAATGAATATGTTATCAACTCCGTCACCAAGCGACTTTCATTCACTATGACAGGCATTTGAAAACCAAACATGTTGCATTAGCTGAAATGTCATTCTGTTTGATGGGACGGCTCTCTCATTTGTTGCCAGGCTATTATCATACGGTAACGCTACTGAAAGCTTTTGTTTGCAGAATTAACTGAACAATTGAAATGGTCACACACTCCCCTTTGAATGCATTATTGAAACTGTACCAGGACTGCACAAGAGTACTTGAGGCTTAAAATTGCACGATTTGGTCTGATTTCAACTACTTTGTGTTCAATTTCAACTGTGCTACAGGGAAGGATGCTCGACTGTATGTTTACAGACTGAGCACACTCAAACAAGGTATAGAGGAGCGACAGCTCGTCCGCACCAAGTGTGACAGTCGAGAGAACAAGCTTGAGAAAACCAAAGGTAGGAAACACATCAGTGAACACCCACACCGATTATTTATTTATTTGTTAAATATACTGTATTTATCATTAATCTAATATTGCGTGTTCATATTTAAAAAACTTGTGAAGCAACTTAGTGAAATTGGAAAATTACAAGGTTCAAGTCATTCTTAAGAAGTACACAAAAAAAGATTATTTAAAGAGGATTTCTTGGATTTACTAAACTTTTTTTAATATAAGTGGTTGTAAACAACTTATTTGGGCTGAATTAAAAAAAATAGTTGAACATCACTAAATTGAATTTTTGTTTTTTTTCAGTGTAGTTAAGATTTATTACATTCAAGCAGCTAAATTTACACACACAAACACACATATACACACACAGTCTTGTTTATGATTGGATTTTATTGCATAGAACATTCCGAAGATGTTCATGGAATGAATTTTTGCATTGTTTTCCTGGAATCTGCCTTATGACTTGGTCAGGGTAAAAAAAATGCTATATAATTAAGAAAATGGTTTACCAACAAGCCAAAAATGTAAATAACTGCATTAAAGATCAAATTATTACATAGTAAACTGTAGCATTAAAGCAATTTAGTAAAAAACTTTGTTTTTAAGCCCAGTTTACAGTATATTTACTTTAACCCTTTAACTGTCCCACCAACAACAAAAAAATCAGATTGGGTTTCTTAACTCTTAACACAATCAATGCATTTTTTTCAACACATCCCATAATTTCTAAAGTATCAAACATTTGGTGGAGGTTAATATGTCAATTTATGGTAAAAGTACCAGAATTACTACAAATACTATGAACAAGTGTAGGACCAATTTATTTAAAAACAATCAAAATAAAACATTTTTGAATACTAAATCATCTTAAAGTATGCCATAATATATTTCAGAATCACATTTAACATGTTGTCTTGTTTTTTTTTTTTTTACAGTAAAACCAAAGTCAAGTTTAGTAGTGCAACAGGATTATGTTTCTTTGATTTTTTGTAAACTAACAATGCTGTGCGTGTAAACCATTACTTAAAACAGCAATTTCTGAAATTATTTTAACGATCATTATTTAAAACAGTCAAAATATGGTCAACCATTTGGTAGAGCAGGCAAAAAATGATGATGAACACTGCAGCACTCAAACTTTTCTCTCAATTATAAGCCCCCATTTGATTAGATTTTTTTATTTTTAAATATTTTCCAAATTATGTTTAACTGAGCAAGGAAATTTTCACAGTATGTCTGATAATATTTTTTCTTCTGGACAAAGTCTTATTTGTTTTATTTTTCGGCTAGAATAAAAGCAGTTTTTAGTTTTTAAAAAACATTTTAAGGGCAAAATTATTAGCCCCTTTAAGCTATTTTAGTTAAGCCTTTAAATGTCGCTTTAAGCTGTATAGAAGTGTCTTGAAAAATATCTAGACAAATATTATTTTACTGTCATCATGGCAAAGATAAAATAAATCAGTTATTAAAGATGAGTTATTAAAACTATTATGTTGAAAGAAATGTGTTGAGAAAATCTCTGTTAAACAGAAATTGGGTGGGGGGGTTGAATAAACAGGGTGGCTGGCTAATGATTCTGACTTTAACTGTTTGTTCAATAATAAAGCATCATTTCTAATGAGTAAAAGAATAAAAATCATGACTTCCTGATAAAATGGCACCAAATATCAAAAAGAGAACGAGAATTTGCAAGCTACTGTTGGACTTTTTTCTTATATAATAAATTACTTGTACCTCAGAAGACTCAAGACAGTTCTGGAAAAAATAACACTGAACTATTTTGATGTATTTTGGCTGAGGAGTTTTAAAACTACAGTACCAAAACAACATTTCAGATGTTGTGCGATGTGGTCAGTCAGAGGAGTTGTCAAGGAATGCTCTCCCATCATGCCTATTTTTGATATCACATGATCTGTTAAAACAATACCACATGCCTTTTTTGATGTATTTACTGGAATTTATTCTGTTTCCATTGTAGTTATGCACATTTTTCTCATAGGATAAAAGTTGATCCTACTCAATTGTGAGCATAAGATTTTTATGTGCCTTTTCAAAATGTATGTGCATCCTGATGTTTCTATTAAGCATCTATTTATACAATATTCCAAAATGCGCATAAAAATGGGTAGATGGAAACAGCTAGCGCTTCTAAAACCCTTTTTTAAAGGATCCAGTATCTTTAAAACCCTCCTTTCTGAGATTCTGCTCTGATTGGTTGAATGCTCCAGTGTGATTTGTGTAGCACTAACTGTGAATGTTGGAAATCAAACTCCAATTACCATATCTGAATCTCAGCTCTGGATGCTTCCTTGCACTGTTTTACAGTGAACTCATCTTTTGAAATTGCATGCAAAATGGATCAGCTTTTACAGATCCACTCTTCTCAACATGTCAACAACACAGACTCTGCAAGGCCTCTGATAAAGCTAGTGTCTGAGGGTCAAAGTAGACATTGTTGACATGTAGCTTATGCAGACGTGTGTGCATTATGCAAATTTGTTGCAAACCTATGTTTGAGAAGGACAGACATCTCCTTTGAGGCAGCTCAAAATCGATTCTTTCTTTTGGGAGACAAGAACTCTATTCATCGTGCACGTTGATTCACAAACAGCTACATCAAACATGAAAGGTAACATTTGAAAAAGCTCAATAGGGCACTTTAATATTAGATCAGTGTCAAAGCTGTGCATGCAATATATTGCAAAAACATGGCATCACTGCTACCTTATAAGCCACTGTCTTTGTGGCCAATTACTTGAGGCAGCCAGGATCCAGTATTGGATTGTCGCGCTAAGGATGATGATGATGATAATGAATTAATTACATACATTTATTTAACCATTCCCTGTCCCAATAGCTAGTTTATGTGCCTGTTGATTGGGTTGTCATGGTCCTAACCTTCGACCCCTACCTGTTCACAATGCACTGGCCCCTTACGGCTCCTCTGTGGGTGGTGGACCTGCAGGGGGATTGTCCCACGTCGTTCCTTCGGGCTGAACTCGGGTTCCGTAGGATAAAACCCGGGCACCAGGTGCTTGCATACGAGCCCCAACCTCAGGCTTGGCTCCAGGGTGAGGCCCCGGCTGTGCCATACCGGGCAACGTCACGGCCCTTGATGTTGTGCTCACTTAGTTTGACCTGTAACCTAAGACCTTATTCCTTGAAAGACCCAACCAGGTGCATTAGCCCCCAACAACATAGCTCTTAGGATCACTCAGGCATTCAAAGCCCTCCACCACGATAAGGTGGCGGTTCATGGAGGAGCTAGACAGGTTGATTGGTGCAGCGGCAGCAGTAGTGTGGTCGATGTATTGGTTTGTTGTGGTAAAGAAGGAGCTGAGCCAAAAGGCAAAGCTCTCGATTTACCGGTCAATCTACGCTTCTTCTCTCACGTATGGTCATGAGCTTTGGGTCATAACTGTAAGGACAAGATCTCACATACAAGCAGCCGAAATTGCTTCCTTCGCTGGGTGGCAGGGCGCACCCTTTGAGATAGGGTGAGGAGCTCTGTCACCTGTTCCAGGCATGTCCCACTGGGAGGAGGCCTCGGGGAAGATCCAGGACATGCTGAAGGGACTATGTCTCTCAGCTAGCCTGGGAATGCCTTAGGATTCCCTTTGGAGAAGCTGGAGGAGGTGTCTGGGGAGATGGAAGTCGGGGGTTCTCTCCTAATGCCTAGTTCACACTAGAGGATTTTAAGCCTGATTTGAGCCCGATTTGGAAGTTAACGAGCTCACCGACAGATCGGGCTGTGATCAGGAAGAAATCTGCGGGTGCACGGCGCTCGCCGCTCTTTATGTGTGAACTAATGAACAACGCATCACCGAGGCTCGCTGACGCGTCGCCGACACCTCGCAGACGGAAATCCAACATTCAGCATGCTAAATATTCCAGAGCAGTCGGCCGACTCAACCCCACGTGTGGGCAGATGTAGTGACGAGCTGCAGCCAATGAGAGAGCATATCAGCATGAGCTAAATGCCTGTGTGTTCAGGAGCTCAGCAGAAACATCTGTGATTGGTCAGAATGGGCATCGGTGCACTCGCTTCATTCTGCGTTAGCACACACATGAGAGTAGGCTATATTAACAGTGGAACTAGAATTGTGTAACTATTAGAATTACCATACTGCTCATTCTGACCGTTCTCATATGAAACGCCATACTGTCACAACATATTTACATTTAAAGCTATTATTGAGATATTAAAATTAAGCTTTGAATGTCTGGCATCATATTTAATGACACCATTACCCTAAAAATATAATCTTTGTTTGGTAATACAACCTATAAATATGTAGTTAAGATACTAAAACACTTAAAGGTCTTGGCTGTCATTTTCACTTTCAAACAGGAGCTATGCGGAGATATGCTGTTTTGAAAGATATCTGAAGTAAACTGAAGTTTTTGCCATCGGAAAGTTTTGTTTATTGTAGCAGGAAGTTGCCAGGCAAGAAAATGCACACATATTTAAAGCCACAGTGAAAAGTATCAGACATGCATGCAGTCATTTTAACCAATATGGTAATTTAAGGCAGAAATGCTCAGTTCTTTACTGTTTTGTAATTTTAAAAAAATAACAATGTCAGAAAGAAATACACTGATAGTTAGAAAATGTCAGGGTGTTATAAATATGTTAGTTTTATTTCAAAGAGTTATACAATTACAAAAATTAAAAACTCTCTGTGTATCTATCCTATCGAACCTTGCAGATGAGTGATTAATCCGCTGATAAATCAGCTGATTTGACGATGTTTTTAAATGCTTTCTCCAAAGCTTGAAACGCTGTCAGTGATGTCATCAGCACACAAGCAGCCAATAGTGTTCAGGTTTTTCTGACGACTCCTCCCTCAAATTTTCATCGGCTGTGGTTTGGTAGCTTGAATGAGCTGATGGGGAATGAGTTGTTGTCAGATCATGTAGTGTGTGACCCCCCTCTTGTGGATCGTTCACGGAGTGTTGCGTAGTGTGAACACCACAGAGATTAAAAGACACAAAGTCAAGGCATGTAGTGTGAACGGCACAGCGATCTGCTGATGTTTAAAATCCTGTAGTGTGAACTAGGCTTAACGCCCCAGTCACACAGGGCTTCAGCGTCAACGCTTGACTAAAGGCGTGTCTGAAGTTGGGGCTGAAGCCATCGTCATAGCAGCGTCAGCCAATGAAATTCAGTCAGCAATAGGCCACTTTCTAGTTGGTGTATTTGCGTAAAGCGATCTGATTGGCTGACGCTTCTGTCGGCGCTTAAAAAGGTGAGCTAGTCCCAACTTCTCAAGCGAGCAACACCTCTGAACGGATCCACAATGCAGTTCGGCAACGCCTGACGTCACCCATTCAAAGTGAATGGGAAGCGTTGACGCTGACGCCCCGTGTGAATGGGGCTTAAGACTGATGCACCGACGACCAGGCCCCGGAAAAGCAGATGAAAATGAATGAATTAATTAATTTATTAATGTATTTAACCAATCATAAGTACACTGTGTAGACATGTATATACACAATAAATACATTGTAACAGATAATTAATTTCAATGTAGGTACATATTATTAGTTAAGGCAACCTACTATAAAGTGGAGCCGTTTCTAATAATTAAATAATGAGATGAGGTTGTCACAATCCTTTACATTTCAAAGTAACAGCTTTGTATTTCTTCAGGCTGCCATCTCTACTCCATAAACACACATCATGGAGTGGAGCTCAGAATTGTTGCGGCGATAAGAAACAAGCTCCTTCTGATCACCAGGAAACAGTCACGGCTCGAATGTGTCAGCTCTATCGCTACAGTCACAGGGAGCACAGACTCACCCGTAGAAGAGTTCCAGTACATACGGGTAGGACACACAATAAACACATAATTGTTATTGACTGGAATTGGCTGTCTTAATAAATTAATTGCTGTCATTTGCAACTTTCAGGGAAGATTCTCACAGACCTATTTTCAGCATTTGAAATATTTGCTGTCCCCTGGTTTTAGGAGATCTGCTTATGTGACTCTCCGGTGGTGATGGCACTGGTTGATGGCCCGACAGGAGAGAATGATCACATGATTTGTGTGGCCTACAGACATCAGTTTGACTTGATCAACGAGAGCACTGGAGACGCCTACAGACTACATCATGTAGATTCCAACCGGGTGAGAAACACATACGCCAGTGCAGATATACTTTACTATTCAAATGTTTTAAAGTCAGACATTTATGACTAATTTTATTTAGACAAAATTTTAAAAAGCAATTGACAATCTTGACAAATTGACAATTGCATTTATTTCAGAAATTATGCACTTGATTATTATCATTTTTTTAATTACAGCATTGATTTACAACATTACATATCTTATAAAGGCTGTTATGATAAACGTTTTATTCATCAACATTTTCAACAATGGTAAAGTGAAGAAATGTTTCTTGAGAAATGATTTGTGGGGATCATGTGACGCTAATAACTGGAGAAATGGTCATAATATTATTTTTACTTATTTTTATCTATTGAGAGCATAACAGACTTGCTAGCCTCAAACTGAAACAGCCTCGAACAGTAATGTGCACATTACTAATACATCCTTTCCTATATGTACAACATTTACTGTAAAAATAGGGAATTCCAGTAACACTTGTAATAAAGCAAAAAAATAATAAAATAAAATAAATGCCAGGGCGTCACTGTGGCACAATGGGTAGCATGATTGCCTCACAGCAAGAAGGTCACTGGTTCGAGCCTCGGCTGGGTCAGTTGGCGTGTCTGTGTGGAGTCTGCATGTTCTTCCTGTGTTCGCACAAGGAACCCCCACAAGTCCAAATACATGTGGTACAGGTGAATTGGTCAAGCTAAATTGTCCGTTGTGTGTTTGTGTCAATAAGTATGTATGGATGTTTCCCAGTGATGGGTTGCAGCTGTAAGGGCACCCGCCGAGTAAAACATATGCTGGATAAGCTGATTAATAAAGGGACTAAAGGCTGCTTTATACTTCTGCGTCAAGCGCACGCATATGATCCAGCGCTCATTGTGGACGCCACCGATGCTGACACGCAAAAAATGTAACTAAACGTTGCAACAACGCGTAGCGCAAGCTCTATGATTGTTCAGCTAGATAGTGCTGACGAGTGTGGGCGGAGGTGAGAGCCACGCGAGCCCTATGGAGCGAGTGTTTACAAGTGTTGAGTCTCATGAATGAGCTCTAAATAGAAAATGTTGTTTTGTGTTTACCTTATGAATAAAGTTGTTGCACGTCTGCTGATTCCCACCTCAAAATGAGCAAGTTTGAGCCACTTGTACATTAAGGTAGCGATCCGAAAAACAAAACACCAGCGAAGAAACTCGACATAGAGGAACATAAAAACCTCACTGCCAGCTAGCGTTTCAGAAATGCTATTGCAGAGCAACAGAAACAGTGCGCAGAAGTATGAATGCACGACAATGCGCATTGCATGCGCCGTGGGTCACGCCAATCACTCGACGCAGAAGTGTAAACTAGGCTTAAGCCGAAAAGTAAATTAATGAATGAATGAAAATAAATGCCACTGCGTTTTGGCTTAAAAGACTTCTTCCGCGCACAAAAACATATCACCATTTGATTTATTTTATTTAAAAAATGTTTTCCTTTTACAACAAGTGTTGTTGGAGTTCCCTATTTTTACTATATTTTGTCTCTACTGCATTTTGTCCATGCACATTATATGGTGGTTGAGTGCTCAAATTAATCCCTTACTAAATTTTTTTTTTGTATTACCACTGTATTGTATTTGCTCATTTACACGAAAAACTATTATTGACATGGACTCTTCACTTTTCCCCAGGTCAACTTTGTTGCTGCCATAGACGTTTATGAAGATGGAGAGGCTGGACTTCTTCTTTGCTATAACAGTTAGTGTCTATTAAAACATCAGTGATTGATTTCATGTGTGTAGCCACACCCTCTAATGCTGCATTTGCATTTAAACAGATATCTGCGTCTATAAGAAGGTGTGTCCGTTTAATGGAGCCACACCCATGATTCAGCCCAACACTTCAGACTTTCATTTTAGCTGGAACCAAATGCCTAATGCTACTGGTCAGTACTTTTTACGGCTTACAGCCCAGTATTACTAATACTTCTTCTTAATAACAGTTGTCCTGCATTTACACTAGAGGAAATAACCAATATCTTTTCCTTTTATGTCACTTCTTGTGTTACAGTGTGTGCATTCCCATATATACTCGCATTCACCACAGACTCCATAGAGATCCGGCTAGTCGTTAATGGAAACCTAGTTTATACAGCTGTTGTTCCAGAATTGCAGTTGACTGCATCAAGAGTAAGTGTTCCAGCAATACCTTTTATGTGCCTTATACAGCTGCACTGGCTGTCAACAGGGACTTAGAAATTACATTTTTATTTATAAGTCTTAGACTATATGCTATAAAGTGTTTTAAAATGAACCATTTTCACATCTTACTGTATGTGATTTAGTTGCTGGATATATAACAATGGCTACGTTTCTATCCACCTATTTTTATGCACATTTTGGATATATGTGCATAATTGAGAAGAATAAACTTTTTATTCAATAAAAAAAAGATGCGCATAAACAATGATGGAAAGACTTTTACCAAACAAATTCCAGTATGCGCATTAAAAAAAGGTCATGTGATTTTGTTATAAGAGATCAAGTGTTGATAAAAATGTGTGTGAATGAAAAAAACAGCAGGCTGAGCACATTGTAGAACATCTGAAATGTTGTTTTGGTCATTCTAAAACCCCTTAACCATCTAAGTATTAGTGTTATATTATTAATGACCTCCAGAATCAAGAGCATCTGTGCTCCGTGTCTCACGCCTTCAAACACCACTGCACGTTCACTGCATGTCAGAATTGCCTTCTGAGGTGCAAGTTATTTATTAAATAAAGTGAAGATTGACACAAGCTTCTCCTACCGCAGCAAACTCCGTTTTTACTGTTGATATTTGGTGGCAGTTAATCAAGAAGTTTGATTTTTTTCTCTTTGACTCGTCTGATGTAAATGCTGCTTTATTTGCACATTTTTTACCTGCAAGAATCCAGTTTTATGCATAAAGTTAACTCACATTTTTGGATGCAAAAATAGCTCATACAGCATCATATATCATTTTTGTACTCATTTTAAAAAAATATATAATTCAAGTTTATTTGTATAGTGCTTTTCACAATAATTATTATTTCAAAGCAGTTTTGGAAAACGTGCTTGTCATTAAGAGTGTACAGATTGTTATATTTTTCAGGGAGGTTTCTTATGCTCACTAGGAGAGCATCCAGGTGATACAAACACAGTAAACATTAATATTGTTAAGTATTTGCTATTATTAATATTATTTAATGTTATTATCCTAATGTTAGCTTTGATGGTAAACCTTTTAATATTTATGTTGAAAAGACAGTGCTGCTTAATATATTTATAGAAAGTGTTATTTTTTAGAACTGAATAGAAAGTTTATTATTTTATTATTAAAACATTATTTATTATTAAAATAATTAGCAAAATAATCCTAAATTAACAGTATTAAATGTATTCATGATATTGTCATCCCTTTTATATGATTGATTTTTTTGTATGACATTTATACATTCTATTAAACAAAGCAGGATTCTCACTGATTTGATCTTGTCATCTCTTCCTCTCTTTGTTTCTGTAGTCTGATATCTATTTCATCTCCTCAGCGCCTATAAACTCTGCCTCTAACTGTAGCTCCAGAGACACTAGTTCCCAGAGTTCCCCTCAGACACCCACCGGCTATGAGATGCCTGTCTTCCCTTCACCGCTTGGAGATGGTATGCACATTTATACATCTGTTACTAAACTCAATTGACATAGTACTGAACTTAAAGGTGCAATAAGTGATTTCTGAGAAGCTTGGTTAAAAACTGAAATCAACACCCAAACAAAAACAACCCCCTGGTGGAAATGGATCGGACCAATCAGACAGCAAATCAGATAGCAAATCAGCAATAGGGGCATGTCTGTTCATGATAGGGGAAGAAAAGAAAGTGAGGGAGTACACTCTCAGAAATAAAGGTACGCGAGCTGTCACTGGGGTGGTACTTTTACATATAAGGTACACATTTGTACTTTAAAGGCTCCTTATTGGTACCACAAAAGTATATTTTAGTAGCAAAAAAAAATTAAGAGGAACACTTTTGTACTTTTTAGGTACTAGTATGTACCCTTGAGGTATTAATAGGGACCTTTAGGTACAAATTTGTACCTTTTAAAAAAGGTACCACCCCAATGACAGCTCGCATATCTTAATTTCTGAGAGTGTAGGAGATTAATTAAGAGATGGCTGTGTGACATTACAAAAGAGAAAAAGGTCAGATTAATATAACTTGTTGGAAAATGATTACAATCATTTAAGATGTTGGTTGGTTTCTGCATATTGCTATTTCACAGATCCTACATACAGTGTAGTTATAATATTAGATATAGAAAATATGGCTAATATTAAAACTATACCATAGCAACTTCACTGCATTTTAAGATCACACTTTACTTAGATGGTCCGTTTGTTGAATTTAAGTTACATTGTGTCAACATCCCAACTAATTCTCAACAGATTATAAGTAGACTGTTAGGGTTTGGGTTAGGGTTGGGGTTAGGGTTAGTGTAAGTTTACGTGTACTTGCCTAGTTTCTTATAGTCAGTTAAATGTCTGTTTAGCAGCAGTATCAACAGATATTATGCAGACAGTCAACTAATACTCAAATGGACCATCAAAATAAAGTGTTACCCATGAAGCTTTGCCTGATGACAGGTTTGGACTATACAATAGCTTTATTTTCACACAAGCAGTAGTGATTTGCATATGACAATGGCTTCCAGGGTGCAACGGTCCATCATTTTATATTAAAAGCCTAAAAGTGGACAATAACTGCTACAGAAAAAAAGTGTTTTTTTTTCCAAATGCAGCAGAAGTCAGTTGCTAGTTCCACCTTCTTGATGACATCAAACATGTTGTTAATGACTGCAAGTGATTGGTTGTGTTGCCTGACATGCTTATTGTGACCAACAAAAATTTGGTTGTCAAAAATATAGTATAACTTGAAACGGACTAATCACAACTGAAAAAAATATTGTCTTGTCTGAACCTGGTATATTTGCATATAGTCTTGGATCATCTTTGACTGATGAATTCTACTATTACCATCAGCAATGGCTATGTTTCCATCCACCTATTTTTATACACATTTTGGATATCCACATAAAAAATGGTTGATGAAAACACCAAGATGCACACAAGTTTTGAAAATGCGCAAAAAAATGTATGTGCATAACTGAGTCGGATAAACTTTTATTCGATTAGAAAAGAAACTAAGATGAAAACACTTTTACGGAACAAATCGCAGTATGCACATTAAAAAATGTCATGTGATTTTGTTATAAGAGATCATTTGATGATAAAAATGATTTACATTACATCAGCAGGCTGAGCACATTGTAAAACATCTGAAATGTAGTTTTGGTCATTCTAAAATGCCTTAACCATTTCAGTATTAGTGTTACTATATTATTAATTACCTCCAGAAGTACCTGAATAACCTCCATTACCTGGCACCAGTTAATCAGGAAGCGACGATTTAGTTCTCTTTGACTCATTAGATGGAAATGCTGCTTTATTCGCAAGTTTTTTTTATCCGATATTCCTGTTTTGCGCATAAATTTAATTAGCATCTTTAGATGGAAACATAGCTAGTGATAAAAACATCCACTTTTGTTCTCTTGATACACCAGCGGTTGTCATTTCCTGTGTTGACAGCCATAAATAAAGGGGTATGATTGTTTGGTGTTGATTTTCATTCATTAATGTTTCTTAGAAATTGATTAATGCACCTTTAAAATGCCATGAGTGTTTATACTTAGGATTAGAGACCGTGACACTGGGTAAATTCAACCCATTGCTTCAAAAAGCCAGTTCACACTGCATCCAACAAAGTCAACCAATATGAAGTTTGTCAGATTTTGTTGAATCAGTTTATTATCCTAGTTGTTGCCCGTTGTTGTTTTCACAAATTGAACATGTTTGAATCGCCATTAGTCAAATCATGTAATATCTGAGAAAAGACATACTATAATCTACTCAATGCCTACATTTGGTCTATGCAATGTGAATTGGCCTTAAAGGCACCCAAAATGTTTATTTTTTTATTTATTATTTTTTTTACAATCACTCTCCCTTCGCTGCTTCCAAACTCAATTGAGTTTCTTCTGCTGAACAAAAGATATTTGGAAGAATACTGGAAAGAGTTCAGATGCAAAAAAAAGTGCCATCAGAATTTTTCTTCTAAAATGAGTGTTATCCCATCGGTCCTACACCACCTAACCCACTCTGAGCTGGGATTAAACCGGCACCTTTCGCATGGGAGTCAGTTGCTCTACCAAGCAGGCTAAAGACCATGGCCTTGAGCGTCTGTCGTTAGAGCACCTTTAGAGGTCAGTGGAGTGAGGTTTACCTGCATAGCACTACTAGCTGGCTTCTGCTACACTCACCTTCCTAAACCTCACTCCTATCTGGGTCAAGGCACCAATGTAACCTCGCTGGTCCTACACCATCCAACTGCAGAAAGTCACCGGGTCGATTCCAGCTCAGAGCGGGTTGGGTGCAGTAGGGCTGGCGGGGTTACATGAGCATTCTTCTCAGGCTATTTAGTGGAGGTTCAGCTATTTTACGTTTCTGGCAAAGAATAAGCTCTTTTTATTGCATTTAATAAGAAAAAAACTGAATACACATCGGAGGCCGAGAAACATGCTTATTTTAGTAGAAAATATCAGACAGCTCTAACATGTTTTTTTGCATCTGAACTATTCATTTTTCCCCTATGAATGAAGTCAAAGGCTACATGTTGCCTGCATTCTTTAAAATATCTCTTTTTAGGTTCAACCTAAGAAAAACTCAAAAGTTTTATAAAGTTTGAGTGTGAGTAAATAGTGAACTATCCCTTTGAATATATCTTGCTTTTTTGTAAAATAGTGCGCTGTGGACACACAGGTTGCTTCCCTGTCTTTTTGTATTGTGTTACGGTGCATTTGTCTTTTAATCTGTGCGTGGGTTGGGTTGATCTATTGCTCTTTTCCATCCCTGGTCCAGATTGTATTCGGATCCCCTACGGCACCAAGCTTTCCCTCTACATGTCTAAAGACTCTGAAGGTACTGCAGTAAGGCACTTCCGCTGCCTACATTTCCCATGCTGCCTCACTAATGCACGTTACCACGGAGACTCACCCTGTCTATTATTCAATTAACAGACGCATGCAGACCGTGTTAAGTGAGATACGCAGCTAACACAATGTGTCCCTTCCTTCTTGCAGTCTCACAGAAAGACTTAAAGACTGACTGAGAAATGATGGCATGAGGAGAGAAAAGAGAGAGAGTGTGAAGTGAACAAGATAGAGAGGTGGGAGAGGAAATCAATAGACAGAGAGAGACGGATACATAGATACAGACCAAGACGCATGAACAGACGCTTTAGGGAAATGGGACACATTTGCTGCAGCATGAGTTACAGATTGCTGTGTCACCATGGATACTTTTGTCAGAGCCCCTCTTCATACAAACACACACACTCTGAACGGCCCTCCAGAGCCTGGCACTTTTCGTCTACACACACAGTCTGAAGAGGGCCGTCAAGGGGCTGTGACAAAATCCACGTCCTGGTGCTTTTATATTTCCAGCCTGTGGCTGCCATTTTTGCAACATGGGAAATAGACTGAAAAAATGCCATTACTCATTTCAAAGTTCACATTGATTGTTCTTACTGAAATAAAATGATTGTGGTATGTATATCTGAGTAATGTGACACTTTACAGTAAGGATTTGAATGAACATAACTTTTAGGAATTATCTGCTATTGCATGTGTTACTCCAATTTCTATAAGCATAACTAAAACAAAAGTATATTTAATAAGTGTACCTAACATATTAACTGATTTCACATGATTTAATACTTATTGTAAAGTGTTACCAATTCTATTTGCATGTTTTGTTTTGTATCAGTTGGCTTAATAAATATATACATTATGGTTTACATACACTACTGTTCAAAAGTTAAGTCGATACATTTGGGTTTTTAAAAAGAGGTCTCTTATTCTCACCAAGGGTGCATTTATTTAAACAAAAATAAACTTAAAACAAATTTAAAAAAAATATATATATTTTTTTTGAGTATTCAGTTAAATTCTAGATTTTTAATTTCTCCTTTGACCTGTTTAATGCATCTTTGCTGAAAAAAGTATCAACTTCTTTCAAAAAAATAGACCTTGCTGACACCAAACTTGGGAAAAGTGGTGTGTGTATTAAATGTTTTGATATATTATACTGTCCCATGGTGCAAAGATGTCTGTGGAATACTTAGTGATTCCACACACGCATGGGTTTATTACAAAATAGTTCTGTGTTTGATTATGGCTCTCTAATTATTCTAAATTAACTTAACGAAGAAGCATCCTTCCTCGGACGGAAATCTGTCTATGCTTTCACCACCTCTGTGTATGCTTTACGTTGCGTCTCTAACCACAACCTCGCTCTTACCTAACAAGATCCTTGTTTGTTTCTATTAAATGTTTGTGTGATATATTAACAACAAATAATCTTACAATACTCCAGACAGCAGTTACTCTTGTGTACTAGTATGGCTAGTATACTGTTGAAGTCAGAATTATTATCCCTCCTGAATTATTAGCCCCCTGTTAATTTTTTCTGTTTAATGGAGAGATTTTTCTGAACACATTCTAAACAATAGTTTTAATAACTCATTTCTAATATCTGATTTAATTTATTTTTGCCATGATGACAGTACATAACATTTGACTAGATACTTTTCAAGACACTAGCATTCAGCTTAAAGTGTCATATAAAAAGGCTTAACTAGGTTAATTAGGTCAACTAGGGAGGTTAGGGCGATTAGGCAAGTCATTGTAAAATGATATTTTGTTCTGTAGAATATAAAAATTAAAATCGCTAGAGGAGGATAATAATATTTACCTTAAAATAATTTTTAAAAAAAAATTAAAACTGCTTTTATTCTAACCTAAATAAAACAAAAAAGACTTTCTTCAGAAGAAAAAATATTATCAGACATACTGTGAAAATTTCCTTGCTCTGTTAAACATCATTTGAGAAATATTTGAAAAAAGGAGAACTAATAATTTTGACTTCAACTGTACATCAAATGCATAACAAATAAAATAGCATGTACATTATTTATTGTTTAACTTACCCAGTTTAGTAGTTTTTTTAAGGTCTATGCCAAGTGCTTTAGATTTTGTATTGTGTTTTATTATTGTAAAGCTGACAACATATGTACATTTATGCCATTGTTTATTCTTTTATAGTTGAGACACCTAACAGTTGCTCTCACTTCTCCCAATACTCCCAAAACCAAGTGATTTTTACACTTGTGCATTAAAATAAGCTGACAGTATTGCAAGTACTGATTAGGTAAATTTCCTGTTAAACACCTGCATTTCCCATATATGTTCTGAGAAACAATATTGGATCATGCTTTAAAAACGTTCAGTCATTCTATTAGTTGTCTATGTGATGTCAAGTCAATGTTTTACAAGTCAAGCAGATGGAAAAGGGTGTCTGCATTGTAAATGTGGGGTGCTGTGCATTTATCCATATTGTAAAAACAACTTTTGTAGGCGCCAATGGTGTAGTGGTTAGTGCGTTGACACATGCACTCTGGTGCTCACGGCGACCCGAGTTTGATTCCTGCCTCGATGTCCTATGTCTATCCTTCCTCTATCTCTGCTTTCCACACATTCCTGTCAATATTCTCGCATATTTGTTTTGATGCATGTTCTTACTGATTAGATTTTCCTTTATGCTGACACTCAGAATACCCCAAATCTGGCTCCCCACAAAAACATTTGATCAATTACAGGTTCTGAATGTCAATTTCGATTAATCGACCAGCCATAACAATAGGTTATTGTTAGGTTGGGTTTAGAGTTGTGGTAGGTGTAGCTGCTAATAAAACACAATAGATTGGACTTCATGTCATACAAGACACTAAATAATTCAATCAATGAAAACTCCGGAAGGTTTGTACAACCCACTTAGAGCTAGCTCCAACCCCGTTTATACCCTTCTCCAAAAAAGCAGCTATACAAGTCTGTGAATAAATAGCTCAGCCAGAGTCATCAGATCAAGTCTGAGTCATAAGTAATTGCGATGAAGACTAAAAACAGACCCCAGTCTGACTCAAGTCCAAGTCATGAGCCCACACTTGCAGAGAGGAAAGATATTTTATAAATAACAGTCTCCAAAACAAACGATGATACATTTCATACAAGTAATTTGACTCTGAAAACTGCAGTTTGAAAGCAAGTCAATAAGGAAATTGTTGATCTTCATTTACAAACACTGACACAATATTACAATATAACTTTTTCAGCATTTTTTAGCCAAAGTTAGTAACTTGCTTACTGCAGTTATATTAAACTGCATTTTCAGTTCTTCCACAAGTGCAGGCTTAATATAGGCTTAACTGTGGGTCGATATATTTGTTTTTATTGAAGCTAATTAGGCTAATTACAGTATGTGGATCCAGCAGTGTGTGCACTTCGGTATGCGTGTCTTTAAACACAAGAGGATGTATGTTGTTTTCACCTTATTCTGCACTGAGTATTAGATATTGGCATGTCTAAAAGCATCTCTGCACCAAGACTGACCATTAGCGCTGAAACAGTTTGTTTATTCCACCATCTAATTCTTTAGTCTTCTCTCTCTTGTTTTCTGCCCTTATCCAACCATCCCTTCCTTTCCTCAAGGTGAAACTCAATCAAAACACATCTATAAGATCCCTCTGAGTAACCTAGTTGGAAGGAGCATAGAAAGGCCCCTCAAGTCTCCTCTGGTCAATAAAGTGCTCACGGCACCGGCCCCCAGCATGACCGGGCCTGCGCCCATGATCGGCAGCACCACCTCCCTCTCGCTGTCTCGCATGGAGATCAAAGAAATTGCCAGCCGCACACGAAAAGAGCTGCTGGGTGAGTGTCTGTGTTTGTGCACTCTTCAACTGAATGCTATCATTTATGAGTGTGTGGCGCAGTGGGATGCTGGCAAGAAATGGACCGCAGAGGAAATCTACAACTTCACAAGTGCTGCTGGAGATTTGTTTTTTGGGGTTGGACATTTAATTTCCTAAAGGATTTTCATGATGGATTATAATTGTTTTAAAGTAGTCATGAAATAAAACTGCATGACCATATTACTAGTATTAAAGTGAATGATTTATCAGAGCAATTCAATCCACAGAAAAAAATGGTCTTGAAAATATTGTATCAAAATCTGAGAATCATGGATGGAAATCCCCTTTTTGCTAAAGGGCTTTATAATGGGGTTAAGTCAATAAATAAAATAAGCCCTAGTAAACATTGACAATATTTCATTGACTCGCACCCCAACTGTTCTTTATTTGCTTATTATTAGAAACATATATTTTATAAAATACACAAAACAGCTTAAAAATCTATGATTTAGATCAGGGGTTCCCCAACTTTTTAGCCTGCGACCCCCAAAACAACAATCTCAGTGACTCACGACCCCCATTTTTCAAGGTGGTTATACTGTAAATATATAAATGTTTCAGACACAACTATAGGCATATATAAATATAATCATATTGACAACACAAAAATGAATCAGTCTAATAACCATATAATGTTTTTTTTATATTCATCTATTAATTTAATTACATTTTAAGATAAAAATTAATGGCTGATAGCTGATTTTTATTTGTATGTTGTTCTTTAACGCAACAATTAACTATCCTCTGTGGGTTATGAATAAAATATGGTGATTCAAATAGTTTAATAAAATTTATTTGAGTTTTGGAAATCACCAAGCGACCCCTTGTCATTGTCACGTGACGCCCCAGGGGGTCCCGACCCCCACTTTGAGAACCTCTGATTTAGATAGAGGAATAATCAAGTTGTTTTGTGCAGAAATTATTTTCTTAGAAATGGAAAACCCCAATATACTGCACTCAGTGAAATGAACTGCACTGACTCTCTCACAAGAAATTAATAAAATTCATTTAATTGTTGTTTGCTGCAATATTATCTAGATGTTTCTGGTGTATAGTATCTGGTGGTTCAAAGAGAAAATTTATTGATATAAACTTTTTAGATGCAAACACGTACATGCTCAATATTCGACTTTTTTAAATAAAAAAAGGAAGATAATTTATGCAGTCAAGCATGTGTTTTGATTATTAGTATGCCAGTGATTGATACCTTTACCAATATCAAAATGCTTTTTTGATGCAAAATTAATTCATACAGTTATTCCTTAAGCGGATTAAAAAAACTTGAGTAAGCCTAGACTTCTATAATAAAGAGAGTCTTGTCTAAATGTAGAACTAAATACATTGATATGCATTGAAATACATGATAAATAGTCTTGACACATGAAAGTGTAAAGCCTGCAGCTCACAACAAACGTGGGAAGTTTGTGCGTGTCATATTTAACAAACCATTTACTGCTAATTTGATGTAATTTTGCTCACATGGATAATTGAATATTAATCAGAAGATGTCATTACGCTGCTGTGTCATCAGCCAATCGTTGCATTGCTGATCATGATTTTGAGGATCCATAGATCTGTCTTTTACAACACACACAGCGATCTCAGATCAGTTAATCCAAACATTTTAATCTGATTCGTGAACTTGTTTGAACAACCAAATTAGCAAAAGATCAGTTATCAAGATGAACAGATCCAGGATATGCCAAATCATCTTAGATCATTTAAGCGAGGTACGAAGAACGGACCCCAGTTCATCCATACATCTTAAAACTGATTTGAAAACTTGTTTGCAGAACCAAATTAGCCAAAGGTCATTTATCAAGATTAGAAGATCCAGGACCCGCCAAATCATCTTGGATCATTTAAGTGAGATATGAAAAAAGGACCCCTGATCTTAACCAGATTGGAATTGTTTAGTTTTGTCAACCCAAAAATACTCTGCAATCCAGAGTTTAATCAACTTGTTTTGTGCAACAGGCCTCTGAGTTAGAATGTACGCCTAGGGTTAATGATCAATGTTAAATATAAGACAACCCAAAGGTAATTCTGACTAATAAACACCTTTGAGTGATCATTGTTCTGGTTTCACTGATAGGTTTACATAATCAGTGGGTCTGTTCAAAAACTCCAGATTTCTTTCCTGATTTATTTCTCATTTTAAGGAGCTCAGACAGAAGAACAACACTCTAAACAGCAACATCAGTCATAGGAATACACTAAAGTCGAGTAGCAGAGCTGTATTCACACCTTACCAATCGTTGGCAGAAAGATTTTAAATATTCAGATGGGGTCACGCTGGATGAGAAGCCCACCTTGTCATGTTTACCATCACTCAACCTTTTTGAACTTTTTTTGCCCTCAAACGAAAAACACCCCCAACTCAGAACCATTTATTAATAATCTTTTAATCGTGTGTGATAGAAATGATATAATGCTTTGAACACTTGATCTGTAACTCTTGTTCTGTAGTCTAGCACAGATTTTTCAATATGAAGTGTTGGAGTGAGACATCCTGATCACACATTAGATAAGCTGCTAGATTTACTAGACTGCCACACTTCACACCCCACAAACACACACACACGCAAATGGCTGAATGACTCTTGGAAAACACTACAGCACCTCCTACAGGTGCATGTTAAATGTCATTTTAAAATATCTGTTAAAGCATTTTCTATACAGAATCATGATATGTTGAGTGTCTAAGTAGTCTGTGCACTCTGTATCTGCTGTAGGTTTGACTGAGGAGCCCAGCAGTAAAGCAGATGGCAACTCAGTGAAACAGAGAAGAATGAGCAAGAAAAACAAAGAGGAAGAGCAGAAGAGAACAGCAGAGATCAGCATCGCCGAGCAGTAAGTCTTGCTGTGTGTGTGTGTGTGTGTGTGTGTGTGTGTGTGTGTGTGTGTGTGTGTGTGTGTGTGTGTGTGTGTGTGTGTGTGTGTGTGTGTGTGTGTGTGTGTGTGTGTGTGTGTGTGTGTGTGTGTGTGTGTGTGTTTAAATGAACAACAAATTCCACTGTTTTATGTGGACAGACCTTATGATTTTAAACATTTCTCAAGTAACATCTTACAGATATGATGTTTTTTTTTCTCCGATTTCTTTTTAACAGAAAAGATTTTTTAAAGACATTTCTAAACATAAGTTTTAATAACTCATTTCTAATAACGGATTTATTTTATCTTTGCTATGATGACAGTAAATAATATCTGACTAGATGTTTTAAGACACTTCTATACAGCTTAAAGTGACATTTACAGGCTTAACTAGGTTAATTAGGCTAACTAGGCAGGATAGGGTAATTAGGCAAGTTATTGTATAATGACAGTTTGTTCTGTAGAATATCAAAAAATACATAGCTTAAAGGGGCTAATAATTTTGACCCTAAAATGTGTTTTTTTTTTTAAAAACTACTTTTATTCTAACCAAAATAAAACAAATAAGACCTTCTCCAGAAGAAAAAATATTATCAGACATACTGTGAAAACTTCCCTGCTCTGCTAAACATCATTTGGGAAATATATATATAAAAAAAAAGAAAACAAAATTCAAAAGGGTACTAATAATTCTGACTTCAACTGTACATTCCAAGTAACTAACTAAATAAAATTAAATTTCAATATGAAAAAATAAATATGTAAACATAAAACTATAAACAAAATCAATTCTTGTGTATATATTGAAACCAAGTGATCACTTTTTGGTGTAAATATTAAGCAACTGGCATAGGAGTCCTTCTCAAGCCACGGTCATTGCACTTTTTGACCCATAGACTTCCATTCATACGCCTGCCAAGTTTTGCAGTTCGCTGCATTGCAAATATCAAGCACATCACATGACTGCATAAGACCTTTCAAGGATCAAAACATGACAACACTGGACAGAAATTTCAAATATTGACCAATGGCTTGCTTTTTTAATGTCTATACTTTATGTGTATTTGATAGACTGTACAGGTATGTTGCTTATGTATTGTATATGCATAGCTTATGTCTGCATGATAGAAGCAAATCCAGCATGATGTGTACTGACTATAAGAAATTTTCTCCAATCAGAGTGGGCATGGAGTCTGTAGATGGAGAAACTGACATCCAGCAGCTCTGTCCATCTGGCTCAGAGGTGGAGGTGCGAGATGACAGTCCACCCACAGCCAACCCTTTCACCTTCTCCACATCGTTTGAGGATGATATTTTGGACCTTAAGTGATGACAATCACAGTCTGTGGATTAAAATGCGCCTCTCACCTTATTCATCTTCCTACCTTTTACTTTATATCACTCTTCTCATTGTGTTACGTCCTTCTCCCGCAGTCTGTCCACTCATCTGTGTGCAAATCAGTCCCCAGAGTTTACAGTGTGGCGATGTCAAAATTCACTCCTGGTGGATGGATGCATGTGTGTGTGCGTATGATCCTGTTTATTGGAAAGATAGAAATACAACTAATTATTAGCGACCATTTCAGAATTCTGCTTAGAGTAAAAACAAAACTGACCAAAAATGCTGAAAATGCCGAAGAATCTGAATTCTGTTTGATTTCGTTTCTATTATGGATTAGACACATTCTCCTTCCGCTTTAAGACAAATTTGTAGCTTTGTAGCAAACTTGTAGCCATATGAACAGAAATAGGACATTTAAACAATAAACTGGCTTTAAATGGTTTGAGCCAAGTTTTAAGGTCAAGGCAAAATATTACTTTTCTCTTCAAGACCTGAATGTAAAATCGACGCTCGTTACATTTTTTAATTCCTTATTTTGTGTTTTTAAATGTTTTCTATGTTTGTGATTTGTACATTGTGTGATTATTTCAAAGTTGTAAAAAACTCTATATGCATCTCGAACCAGGTGCACATGAACATACAAATGTAAACATACAAATATATATATAAATATATATACATACACCTTTCTAGTTCTACTGTATTATGAAGAAATAAAACTCACTTCTTGTGTATATCAATGTTACGGTGTAACCTGCCTTCACTCTCACCACGCTTTTTAACCCTGACATGCAAACTTTTGGCAGAAAGGCAGGAGTCTCCCACAAGTGCCATTTTCTACTGCACCCATCAACCAGTAGATCGCCCCCTATCAGACAGACCATGGATTGCATATGTCATGAGGCAGACGTCAACTAAATCCATTACAGAACATGTTTTGTTTTGTTTTTCACCGCATCTGCTGCTGTTTACTATGCGTACAGTATAAGCTTTAATCCATCAACATCCACATTCACGGGCACACATTCTTAAAGTGCTGTTGCTCCTTGAAAAGGGCTCTGGATCACCTGCATGCCTCCCCTCCATCCCACAACAAAATAAAAGGGATTTGATATATTAATGGTTTAGAATTAGAAAGCAGTATCTTCTCATAGATTTGGTACAAACTAACAGAATTCTTTAAGGTTTTAAGTCAGGGTCACTTAGATTAGATCTCTCACTCTAGATTACACAGCAAAAAAACTCTTTATCAGTGTCTTTGTCTTGTTTTCTCATAGAACTTAAAATCAAGATAAATACATTTGAGAAATTAATACTTTTTTGAAAACCTCATTAAACCTATTTTGCTTAAAGAAACACTAAAAGTTTCATGGAATATTAAAAGTAAACAGTTGAGTTTTAGCATTTTTTAATCCATTCAGCCGATCTCTGGGTTTGACAGGAGCATTTTTAGCTTAGCTTATCATAGATCATTAAATCAGACTAGAGTTTAGCATCTCGCTTAAAAAAAAGTTTTGATAAATTTCTTATTTAATGGCAGATAAGGTCACATGCAGCACTGTTACCTACTGTAGTTATCTAGCTGGGGATTCTTTTCAGGTGCTGCATAATATTGAGCCAGCTGCAGCCATGCAACAGCAGCAAAGTTCCTTGATTATTACGCCAGAATGACTGTATAGTTCCTAGCCATATCAGCCTAGATAATAGTGACTTTTATTACAATTTTAGTCTTAGTACATGATGTAACCACAGAGGAGTCAATCTTTAAATAGGAAAATTATCAAAACTCTACTGATTGTTTTGAGTGTGATGCTAATGGTTCCATCTGATTCAATGATCTGTGCTAAGCCAAGTTAAAAGTGCTCCCAGCAGACCCAAGTATATCTGTCTGCAGACTGCAAGACGGGGGCACAAGATGTAGGGGCGTAATTTGTGGTAAGTTAGAGGCGTAACTTGCAGTTATCGAGATCCCATAGAACCATGAAAGATGTCACAACGAGATGTTGTTGGCTAGATGGTGGACATACTTACCAGAGTACATTTTCAACAAATATTTTCGTGAGTTTTCTCCAAATATATCCACAACAAATTCCTTTGATATATTATAATATTAATTCATTTAGCAACTCCACTCAGTTATTTCTGCATTCGTTTTGTCATGACAATTAGCCTACTCGGGGTCGCCCCCTGTGGTTGCAAACAACAGAATGACAAGCGTGTCAAGTATAAAAAGCTGCTGCATGCTAAAAACTGTGATGGTTGGGTTAAGGTTTAGGGAAGGTGTAGACGTTAATAATGATGATGGTTGGGTTTAGGGTTGTGGTAGGTCTAGATGGTTAGGTTTAGGTGTGGAGTGGGTGGTGGCTTTAATAACTATGTATGGTTGTTGCTAGATTAGATATGTTTGCGGCCGGAAGTAAATGAGAATTATTTCTATTATTTATTAAATTTCCCATTTATTGTATTTTATTAACGTCTACCCCCACCCCAACCCTAAACCCAGCCGTCACAGTAAGGTAAAAACAGAAGTTGTATTGGGTCTTGGCTTTAATAACTATGTACGGTTGTTGCTAGATTGGATACATTTGCGGCCGGAAAAAATTACTAAATTACCCAATAAATTGTATTTTTTAATGCCTACTCCCACCCCAACCCTAAACCTAACCGTCACAGTACTGTAAAAATATTAATTATTGTTATACAGTGTCATGAAAAAATGCTGCTATATAAATGTGCATATTGCGCATATCCGATAGTTGACATGGCTCCATAACTTCATGTTACGCCTCTAACGTACTAAAAGTTACGCCCCTAAGGCCCCTTGATGTTATGCCCCTGTCTTGCAGTCCGCAGACAGACCCTACTTAGCAGACCCGGAGATTGGCTGAATGGATTTAAAAATTGTACAATTGTACAATTATTTCTTTTAAAAAAGAGTTCCTTTAAAACTATCTATTTACCTAATCTATAATATATACATTATTTCCCAAACATATAATTTCAGGAAAAAAAAAACAGATGTTATGCTAAAACAGTGTTTTTTACATGGAAAACAATACAAAACCTTTGGGGGTTAAAAACAGTTTGCAGTGTAAAATGAGAAGAAGAATATAGATGTTTACAGTTCAAACTCAGAGATGTTAAAAACTGTCATCAAAGTGACACCAGAACACAAGAGCCTCAGGAACAGCACAAGAGGAGGTGTAAGTATTAAAGCGCTTCGCTGATTGCATGTCGCTTCACGCTAAACCTTTCTTCATCTCAGTGTAACTCACTCAACACTAGTAGCAGTCTGGACTAAAAAGGGAAAACTTGGGAATATTTTTGTAAATTAAAAGTTTTCAATATTATTTATTTGCCATTTGTTTTTTGATGAGAATAGATGTGCAAGAGATTGATGGAATATATTTTTTCTGTTGGCATACTGTCTGTTGTTGTCTTCCCCATCCCTCTGTTTACTCTCCTGATTGTTTTTTGCAGTGGTTTTGTATCTATATCAATATTAACTGTTTAGACTGTTGCAGAAAGTCTGTGATATCAGAAATTAAACAAAAACAAATAAAAAAAACACCAAGTGTCTTAAAATATTGTATTGCCATTGTTTTTAACGCCAAGTACTACTTGTAAATGTTTGTGTTTCAGATGTGGCCTCAAAATCTACTACTACTATTATTATTATTATAGCATTTATTTGAAAGTGCTGTAGCCCACTGCTGTAGTTATTATTGTTGATATGAAATAAATATTTATGAAATTTGAGCATGCAGTTTGTGTTTTAACAAGTGTAAGTAGATTGGAGTAAATGTTTAAACATTTAGATGATGTACTTACACTTATCTGTCATTTCTGACTACATTATTGCATTGTATACCATGTTAAGTGTGATTTTAAAAAAAAAAGAAAAAGAAACAGTCAATATTATGATATATAACATGAAATGTAATGCTAGTTACCTAGACCAATTTAGGCAACAATTGGTTTTCAGCTTAAAGGCTAAAAAAATCTGGTCAGGTAGAGATTATGACAAAACAAAAAGCTAACGAGAGTTAAAACTTGAACTTTTTCCGTTGCAAGACTGACAGACAACACTGAGATCTACAGATAACAGGGAACTACATATTACACTTACCTTTACCTCCAGCTTCAGTGAGAGATACTTGACATTAAGTCCAATCGTAGAACTCTACACAACGTGCACGTGGTTGAACGAAGGGGAAAGCTGCAACTAGACTAACCATATTACAAAAATAACTTTAGGCTTGCTTGAACTACTTGATAAGATCGATTTCAAATCTGGTATTAATGGCGAAAACTAAGCTTTTCTGAAGTTTTGTATTTAGTTTCTCAAAACCGCATGCTGATGACATCTGCTGGTAAAACGGTGCAAACACAACAAAAACTCGGGCCTAAACACAAATGGCGCCTAAACAGTCAGCTGTTTCATCAAAGCAAGCACAATCTTTTAAATTTAATTAACTCACCTTCATATTTTTTAGGGCTTTGTTTGTTCTATGAATATATAAGCAGGCCAAAACTTAACTAATTAGTTTTCCTTTTAATTATACAAAATCTCCTTATATCATTATCAGAGGTCAGCTTAAGTATTACTTTTAACCACAGTATTACTTTGAAACTTAATTAGTCATTAAGCTACTACTAAAATGCATCTATCAACCATAAATATTGTAGCCTATAAAGGTGATCTTTAAAGGGGTGGTCCACAGTGTATTTTAAGTCTTTGTTGTGTTTATATGATGGGCATGCTTCATTTGTAGAAAATCAAGTTATTTTTTTCATATATCTTATATACAGATTATATACAGCTACTCAGCTAACCTGAAAATGACAGTCATATTTCCTAGTTCCTTCAAGAGGCCTGTCCTCAAGAGGCTCTGATTGGCCAGTTAACATAATGTGCTGTGATTCACGGATCGTCTCCACATCACGTCCCTACAAGCACGGGCTTTTGCGCTGTGTAAACAGTAGCT